GGCATGGAGGCAGGAAAAATAGAACAGTGCTTTTTAACTGTGAGTTTGCAAAACAATCACCCGGAAGTCTCATTAAAAAAACAAAAACAGATTTGTAGAATTGGAATTATAGATCAATTGTAAAGCACTTGCCTAGTATATGTGAGAGGCCCAGGGTTCATTCCCCAGCAACACAAACACACACACACACACACACACACACAAACACACACAAAATAGATTCCTGGGCCCTATCCCTAGAGTCTTATTTAGTAAGTCTGTCTTGATCATTTGCATTTTAACAACTTCCAGGGGACTTGGTTGCTGGATACTTTAAATATTAAGTTTCTAGTTAACTTCTGAGCAGAGGCAGTTGAGATGTGTTCACTGTTCTCACCAGTAGCCTTATCTTTAAGAACAGACCCCCCCCCCCAAAAAAAAAATTAAGGAGGAGGATGCTAAGTCATCCCTTGGGAGAAAAATCACATGGTCAACTTAGTAGGTGCCATGGGTCTCTGTTCTTGTTTGCATTGATAATATGCTTCTTGGACTAAACTAAAAGAAATGCTGCTGGAACAAAAGCTACAGATAAGGTTGAGATGAAGGGGCAAGAATTCTGCCTGAAGTGGAGCTGACTGCATAATCATGGGACTGGTTATCAAAGGAACTAGTCCTCTAAGGACAGAAAACCTATTTGTGCATAGAAAAAGGTTAGAAAGGAAAAAAAGCAAATTGTTGGTGGCTCTCTCTTCATATGCATCATGAGATTTGGGGGTGAATTATATTTTTTGCTATATTTGTCTCTCTTTTACATTTTCCTACAAAGAGGACTTAAATGTTTTCATTACCAGGAAGGAAAAAAAATATTTTTTTTTCTTAGTGTAATTTCATATGATTTTGGTCTGGTTCTGTTAGGTTGGTATTTCTTTACATTCTTCTCATGGGAAAGGCCTTCTTTCTGCCTGTGACAGTTCTAGTGTTCTGATGGCCCTAAAGATAGCTGAAGGCAAGGCCCAGACATTTGCCTGCAATCTGGACGCTGGCCGCATGAGGAAAGTAAGGTTGATAAGGTTGAGGAATCTTAGAGCAGAGGTCTGAAGTTCCCAGGAATTAGAAGCATCCCCTAATTCTCCCCCTCCCCACAAATGACCCCATACAAGGTATCTTGAAGGATCTTCCCTGCCCCTGCTTCAAAGGGTTGAAATAAGCTTTAAGTGAATGTAGAAAAAGTTAAAAAGGTTAAAAATGAGAGAACAAGAGGCATAGTTCAGTGGTACAGTGCATGGTTAGCATTCTCTAGACCTCTGTCCCATCCCCAAGCACCAAAGAATGCTAAAAAAATAAAATAGAAAATAAGGGAAGACTGCTGGGAAAGTGGGGAAGCCACAGCCATGTGGACATCAGATCTGATTCCCTGCCATGATCTGGTTCCCCAATGCCTGAACTACAAGTGTCTATTGAGGGTGGCTGGACCAGAAGGAAGGCACCCAGTGTGGCAGAAATCATCTCGTAGGCCTGACTTCACGGAACCAATGCTGGTGTGTGTGTGTGGGGGGGGGGGGGGGGGGGGGGGGAGTAAAAGAAGCATCCTAATTGATTGTCATGCCAGCTTATTTTCAGCAATTCCAAAAACATATCTAAGTTGCCATATTTTGCTTTTGTGAATCTGGAAAAGGTCAAAGTTGATAGGTATATAGTTCACACCTGGCAAAACTTTCCACCAAAACTAGGACTCTACTGACATCTGCTGGCCTATCATCTACTTTATGTTTAAAAAGAACAAAATAAGACAAAGAAGCTTTCACTTTTTTTTTTTTTTTCCTACAGTCCTTTGACCATAGCTAAGTGGGTTTGACCTGAATAATCATAGAAAGAAAAGTCTGAAGGGACCTTTTCCATGTCATAGAGGAAGAGGTGTGGACAGGTCATTGAGTGAATATATGCCCTATAGGAAGGGCCTGCAAGCTGCAGAGTTCTTACTGCCCTCTGCTGTAAGCCAGCTGCTCTGTGACCTGAAGCAAGACCCTCAGCCTTTCTTTCATCATAGGGAGAACTAAGCAATACTTCTCTCATTATCCTTTAGGGCCTCTGAGGATTCTGGTGGCATTTGCTACTAACTAAAGCCTGGGCCCTGACATTGGATGGAAGTAATGACTTTAAAGGCCATTCTCAGTTACATTTTCATTCAGATAAACAAGATTCTTTACCAGTATTGTGTTTTCAAAAGATGAAAGCTATTTAAGCCTCCACAAAGCCCACCATCTCTGGAATTTATCCCTAAAAACAACAACATTTAAAAGATCAGGGAGGAGGGGGAAAACAGGCACTCTTCTCTCTGAATTGTCCACATTTTGGCCCTAGGAAACTATGAACCTCATTCTGTGTTTTGGAACATGTCATAAGCCTTCAGGTTGAGAAAACACTTCCCAGTTAATGCCAACCAAATTATTTGTGCTTTTTCTGTCTGGTCTTGGGAAACTGTGTGGGCCTGTGGTTTGTTAGACCAATAACAGGATATTTGATAATCTCCAGGGAGTTACAGTCCACATTTAGCCTGACAGAGGAAGAGAGGTCTGATGATGAAAAATAAGGGAGGTGTTTCTTTCACGCTACTATTTTATTTCTTCCTCCTCCCTCAGAATTCTGACCTCACCTTCAGGTTTGCTGAGGCTTCTGATGCTATTCATGGTTCTCAGGAAACTGGACTTTGCTAGTTGTAAAAGGAGATTTACGTCTTCAAGCTCCCAACTCTTCCCCCAGAAAGCTGTTAGGAATGACTGGAGCACAAAAGAAGCAGGAAAAACCCTGTGAGCTTCATACCCATCAGGATGGCTGCATTCAAAAACCAAAGAAAATAGCAAGTGAGCATATACGGAAAAAAACCAGAACCCTTGTGCATTGTTGGTAGGAATGTGAGATGGTACAACTTCCATGGAAAAACAGTTTGGTGGTTCCTCAAAAAATAAACACAAAATTACCATATGATCCAACAATTCCACTTCTCAACCGTTACCCCAAAGAATTGAAAGCAGGGCTAGAGATACTCATGTACCAGTATTCATAGCAGCGTTAACCATAAGAGCCAGAGTAGAAGTAACCTACGTGTCCATTGATAGACAAATAAATAAGCAAAATATGAAATATACCGCAATGGAATATTTTTCATCCACAAAAATGCAGAAAATTCTAAATATACTAAAGCATAGAGCGAGGTTGAGGACATTATTCAGAGTGAAACAAGCCAAAAGAACACATCCTTTATAATTTCACTTATTTGAGATATCCAGAGTAGTTGAAATTATAGAGACAGAAAGTAGAATGGTGGCAGGGGCTGGGGGTGGGGTGGTGCTCATCTGTAATCCCATCACCCAGGAGACTGAGTTCAAGGTCAGTCTAGGCAATTTAGTGAGACCCTATCTTAAAATTTAAAAAAATAAAGAGAGAGAGAAAGAGGGAAGGAAGGAAGGAAGAAAAGAAAGAAAAGAAGGAAGGAAGGGAAGGAGGAATGGGATGTAACTCAGTGGTAGAGCACCTCTGGGTTCAGTACCCAGTAACACACACATACACACACACACACATAAACACATACACACATAGAATGGTGGTCAACAAGGACTTGGGGAACACGGGGATGGGAAATTACTGTTAAAAGGGTAATGTTGCATTTTTTCATGATGAAAACCATTGTGGCCATATATCGTGTTGGTGGCAGCACAATATGCTGAATGGAATTAATGCCACTGAACTATTCACTTGAAACGATTAGGCTTTATATTGTATATATTTTAACACAATTAAAATTAACAGAAGCTAAATAGCAAAACCAAATATACACTCATAGTTCAGTCATCACCTGTGGCCCTTGCAAGGATTAAATCGCTTGACCGTGATAAACCTGGTTGTACTGTGCTGGACTGTCCAACAGAAACTTCTGTGATGATGGAAATGTTCCTATTTGTACTCTCCAGTATGATAGTCATTAGTCCCACGTTAGCTTTTGAGCATCTGAAATATGACTAGTGCAACTGAGATGCTGAATTTTATATCTATTTCATTTAAATTCAAAGAGACATATGTGAACATTGCAGGTAGTATTTCCATCTATATGGCTGTCTCTTCCAAAATACTTTTCCTTTATTAGCACTGACCAGTAAACCTAAGCACTCAGACTATAAGTCTAAGAAGGTGAAGGTAAGGAAGCTGCTTAGGTGTGAGCCATGGTTCTATTTGACCCACAATACCAATTTGTTGCAGTGCATTTTATTGAGGGTGTGATGCTCTGACAGCATTCGTTGGCATCAGTTACTGGATCCAAAAACAGTTTGCCTTAGTTCATGCTTTTTCTAGTAAAATGCCCTTTTAGAGAGCTAGATTCCTTCTCTGCCAGGCTCAATCTTCCTTCACTTTCCCTTGTAAATCCATGGAGTGATGGTATGAACCACAACTGAGGTCCAAGTCCTTATACAGAAATTGTCTGAGCACATCACTCACTGCTTGGTTCGGGTACCCAGGCAATCAAAGCTTTTTTGGAAAACATGGACAGGTAAAATACATAACAAACAGAGATTAAAAGAATCATACAATGGAAGGACCCCTATGAATTCATGCTCTAAAACAGGAATAGGGAGATAGGTCATCATGTATTATATAATATTGCTTAGGAAGATCTGAGATTGCCAGCAACAAAAAGAGGGCCTATATTTAAAGAGACTGCAAATAGAAAGTTTAAAAACTCAACCAGTGGGCAGCATTCCTTTGTGGCAACCCTGTATTTTATGGGACTATAGATGCTACATTTATCTTCATGCAAATAAAAAGTATCCTTTTATTAAAGGATAAAAATGAGTGTACAAAATGTAGATAGCTATGTGGCAGGAAGGGGATAAATGAAAAGTTTTTGTTTTTATTACACAAAATGAACATAGGTGTCTGATTTTTTTAAAATGAATAAATAAATAAAACACCTTATTTTGCTGCAACATATTTGCTCACCAAGAGACATTTTTTTTTCTTTCTTTCAGCAATGGGTAGAAGGCCTGAGATCAATCATACACAACTTCAGGGCCAACAACGTCAGTCCAATGACCTGCCTCAAGAAACAGTGAGTTTTGTTTGCATCATCCTTTGTTCTTGGAAATTATCAAGCAGTGGTCACCTTAGGAGATGAAGCCTAAGTATCTTGTCAGGCCAATTCCTGCCTGCCTTCCCCCTCCACTTTCCTGACCTTGGACCATGAGCTGACCAACACAAATCTACACACTTCATACAATCTAGCACAGCACTCATCATGAACCTTTAGCCCCAAGCCCAGGGGAAACATGTGGTTGATTGCCCAAAGCTACAAGAACTTCAGCCACTCTGTAGCCTATGATTTTTATATCTTCAGTTTCCTGATAGGTAGTTCTGCATGCCTGGGGTGGCGGCCGTCCCCGTACGGGCCACCAAATGCCGCAGTCTGGCTGGGCACAATCAGGAGCCACTTGTCAAAAGAAACTAACTTTATTTTTAGAACCACACACGACAAACAAAATAGTCTCTCAGGAAAAACCCTCAGAGCCTCAACTGCCACCACCGGCTTTCCCCAAGCCTCTCTCTCCCACACAAGCTTCTCTCCACCTCCCACAATCCTCCTGCTCTTGAGGCCCAGCTTGATGCGGCTGTTGTTCTTCTCCAAGTCGTAGCCGGCGGCCGCCAGCGCTGGGGCCCATAACTGGGTACCAGAGTAGCTCAACCTCCACTTCAGAAACAAATGAGGAGCATGGCAGAGAGAAACATGTGCAGAAACAGCCTTGGCTATGGTGAAAAAAGAAGGCCCTGGCCCCTGGTCTAATGCCTGCCGTTGAGCCACAATCAAGGATCCACACATCCTTGTGAATTTCTTTCTAAAATTCAGTCAAGGATTCAGTCAAGGATCCTGAGGTCTTACCCCAGCTCATTTCATCTAAAATCCAGAGGAGTATTGCAGTGGTAGATTTTAACCCTACTCAAACTAGTCTTTCAAGGTGACATGAAAATTCTCCAAGAAGAAATCCTAGCCAAAGTCCAATGTTAGCCTTTTTGAAAAGCAGTGGATCCATAAGGGTATGAGGTTGCCTGCATGTATAGAACTATCGGTAGAGTCTGTGAGGTGCCAAAAGGAATCACATGGAGAAATTGTGGGGATGCATTCCCCATCTCTCAAAACTAGGCTGTGGTATCAACAGTGTGATTCAGTGACTCATCGTTCCTGTTTGGTAGTGGGCGAACAGGCCAGTCCTAAGGCATTCTCAGTCTTCACTTCCTGGTTATACCACAGATATGGATCTGGGCTATGGACCCCAGCTTTGCCACTTCAGGCAATTTCTCAGCTTCATTTTTCCCATCTGGGAATTAAAATTACTATGAAGGTAAAATTGGAAAGCACCTAGCTCAGTACCTGGCTTCCAGTCACTCCTCATGCAATACTAGTTACTTGAATGTCATAGTATCCCTCCAACTTTCTCTCCATCATCATAGTGGAGGGAACTTATATAGTTTTGTAAATTCCTATTTGCTGTTTAGCAGCCTTTTTTTTCCTTACAGTGACTCTGGCATATTTTTTCTTTTTCCTTTCTTTTCTTTTCTTTCTTTTTTTTTTTTTCTTAAAGAGAAGCTTAATGGAAATTTCAGTGTTGTGACTTTGGTTACTGATAGTCTCAAAGGATCAAAGACTTCGGAAGGCTCATTGATACTTAGTGACCCAAATATTCATATCCGGACACCAAATCTTCCAGCATCCTGTCCAGACGCCTTTGTGGAGCTGGTGTTGACCCATCCACCAGCAGCTCAGACCTGTCCACTTCTCCAGAGATTACCCTCTGCTAAGTGGAAGCCTCCATGCCCAGGAGATGATGCTCCTGTCTCCCTCTAAGGGGAAGCCTAAAGCCAATAGCAGGCTGAAACAGGGAACGAAAGGCCATCCCTGTGCCACCAAGGCTGGTGCATGTCACAGAACATGAGGCTAAAGCTCCATCTAAGACTACAGCTTTGCTTAACCATCTTCCCTGCCCAATCTGCCTTCCTCACTCTCTTTTCCTGAAAACATCTTCTAAAGAATTGGTCACTTGTTTTTCCAAGAAACTTGACCTAAACCAGAAACTTTACTAAGTCCTGATGTTCTATGGATGCTTAGGATATTATTAACTGGAAACAGTGAGAATGGAAGTCATTAGCTAAGAACCATCCTAGTTCTACAATATAAACAGATGTTTTAGGTCCTCATGTAGCCCATGAGCATAGGGAGAACACAGAGTTACCCAACATTATGATGACCTTCTCTGACCATTGAAGGTTAAGGAAGGCGGAGCTTTGATCTATGTTATGATACTGGGATCCTGGAGTGATGGATCCTCATGGGTCCTCAGGACAATGCTGGCTGGTATCACTGTTCATTTGCATTTTCTGTCACATTGGTATATTAGTAAAGTACAAGAATTAAGGATGAGGTCAATCACAAATAAGTACTGGCAGTATGTTTTGCTCAGTTTAAGCATCCAATTTTATGGTTCATCTAGGTTTACCAGATAAAACATTGGTTCCTCAGTTAATTGAATTTTAGATAAGTAACAGATAATGTTTTACTATGTTTTCCAAGTATTATACAGGACATACTTACACAAAAAATGTTATGCTACCTGTCTGAAATTCAAATTTAACTGAAGGTTCTATGTTTTTATCTACCAAATCTGATAGTCCCGAATTCATCTCATACTACATAATTATCTGAGATTTTTAGGACAGATGTTTTTGTTGGAATACATTTTGTTTTAAAGTTCTTCATTGGATTGAAGCTGTTCCTTCGAATAAACAGTATTGTTGTTGTTGTTTTCCAGCTGGATGAAATTGGCATTTATGACCAACACAACTGGTAAAATTCCAGTTAGGAGGTAAGTCAGTTATTCTTGGCCATGCTCCATGATACCAAACCAAAGACAGAGCTCTCTGAAAGTATTGTGTGTTAATTGCCTTTAAGATATTTCTGGAAGCTTAGTTTGAATCCTTTTGTCACATGCCATGTTCAGACTGTAGAAATCATGTGTGAAAGTAAAGTTGCATTTTTCCTCAGAACAGGGAGCATGGATACTGATAAAGAACATCTGAAAATGTAGTGTTTTTTAAAAAATCTTCAGATAGTGGGTTTTAGGATTAAAATTTCTTTTACCTACTTACCTGAGCAAACCATCAGTTAAGTGAAGAAATTTATTCCGTGTATCTACTACGGAGAGAGTGTATGGACGGTCTTGGAAGCATGCTGCCTCTGGACATTCTCATTTTGGGCTTTGCTGCTCAGGGCTGCTGTCTTAGTTCAGGCTGCTATAACAGGGTGTCACAGACAGGATGGCTAACGAACAACAGAAGTTTATTCCTCATAGTTTTGGAGGTTGGAAGTCTAAGACCAGGGTGCCAGCCTGACCCAATCCTGGTAAGGGCCTTTTTCGAGGCTGAAGACTATGTCCCCTGGCTGTGCCTTCACATTGTGGAAAGAGGGGTAGAGAGCTCTCTGAAGTCCCTGGTGTCAGGGCACTAATCCCATTCATGAGGGCTCCACCCTCAGGGTCTAATCACCTCCCAAAAGCCTCTCCTCTGGATACCATCATACTAGTATTAAGATCAGGTTAAGATTTGAAACCACATACACCAAAGAGCTGCCATATCCTCTCCAACCCCACCCAGGTTAACAATGATAAAGAAAGACACGTTTAGGTAGAATCATAAAGGAAGAGGACATGAGCCAGACACATCCTCTTTCATAGTTTTGTGCTGAGTTATTTCTCCCTCTGAGAATTCCCCATGCATTCCTTTTTTCCAGGATTTCGAGTTTGTTAATAGTGTATATACTTGAAAGTTTCTATGATGATAATGATGGGAAATTTTTTTTTTTTGTACTGGAGATTGAACCCAGGAGTGTTTAACTGCTGAGCTATATGTCCCAGCCCAATTTATTTTTTATTTTGATACAGGGTCTTGCTAAGTTACTGAGGCTAGCTTTCAGCTTGCAATCCTCCTGCCTCAACTTCCCAAGCTGCAGGGATTACAAGCCTGTGCCACCACACCTGGCAGTGGATCATTTTGCTTGGTGTTTGTATAAGCATTCATAAAAATTTCAGAAGCTAGGCTGGGCGCCAGAGTATCAGCTGTCCACACAACGCCAGAAGGGTATTTGGATTCATGATCCTAATCCCACCACCTGAATCAAACACAGGCTCCCCAGAACCAACCCATGCTTCCAAGATTCCCCAGGTTCAAGTTCATGTTGAGGTCTTCTCTGTACATCCATTTGACAAAGAAGCAAAGTAACAAATAGCAACAAATTCCACCAGCAGTTCTGGGTCTTAGAACTGATTCATCTTTCATGGACAAGGCAAACAGGTCAACAAGTACATAGCATTTGAGTGGATACTGGTCAGCAGTGACATTTCTATCTTTTCTTTTTCTCCCTTCCTGCCCAGGTGCTTTGTTCTGCTCAGAAGTGTCCATTCTGCATCCCCGCACAAGTGTCTACATACCCCCTGACATTATTCTTGTCACAGTGAACAGAATGGTCCTATAAGTCATCATTTTTCTGAATTCCATAGGTTATAGGAATTGTGAACTTAAGTATCAATGTGACACTACTGAAATATTTATGAGCAAATAGGAAACAGAAATCACGAAGAAGCCTGGGCAGTGTGGCTCACAGACCTCATGCAATTGTTGTAGTCTTTAAAACAAAAACAAACAAACAAACAAAAAAAAAAAATATATATATATATATATATATATATATATATCTGTATTATACACACACACACACACACACACGATCTATGGATCTCTGGTTTTTTTTAATAACTTAGTGACAAGTCAATTTTAGAATTTTTTTTTTTTTAAACAGGCTTGCTAGCACCTTTGACTGATAGTTGTTGACAAAGATGCTCTACACCAACCCTTATTTTATTTAAAAATGTTTTGTTCCATTAAGCTATAGCAGGACAATTATTTTAATGTATCCCTATATCCTAAAGCTATTGCTATATAGAGATTGCAGGTTTATTTAAAGTCAATATTGAAGTAATAAGCCCAAACTTTAGGGAGCCCAGATAGCAGTGTGATGAACAGAAATGTCAGTTGAATCTGTTTGCCATACCTTTCTATCCTGTCTTTTCTTTCAAGACAAGATTCAGGAAATGGACAAAGTAGAAGCACATAGATTGTGATCAAAGCTCTTGTAACTAGCACTTGTGATTTCATTTGTATGAATGCTTCCAATCAAGCCATAGTTATAGCTAAGCTTAGAAGCCTCTTCTGATTTCATTGAGTTTATCCAGTATGTTCACATACAAAACTGTTACCACCTTTATGGTAGGAATAGCCTAGATATTTTGCATCTTCTTTTACTTTCTTCAACATGGACTCTGTAGTGTTTGCTAGTACTCACAAGTGTTTGACACAAGACATCTGTGACCTGGGGGCAGTTTGTTAGAGCTGAGGGAGAATTGATACCAAGCCAACCAAGAGCGGATAACTCTCCTGGTAGATGAGCTGCCAAGGGTTTGGTGGAAATTGTTCTTAATGTCTTAATGGATATGAAGCATAAACACTTTAAAAATGTCATTTCATCACTATGATTTTGCAGTTTTAAAAATGGAAACTGTTAGTGTAGTGTACATCATGTTCATCTGTTAAAAGGGATCTGGCTTCATTGCTATTACATAGCTTGAGAATAGCCCCTGTTCTTCATCATTAAACCAAAAATTTAATATCTGGGAAATTGTAGGAATGACAAATGAAGGAAGTCTACTCCTTGCCTTCCCCTTCACTCTTCTTTTTATGTACGTATTCTTACACAGTCTGCCCTTCTGATTTCATTCTCCCACTTGGACTAGCACTTCGAAAATAGCTCTGTTCCTATCTCCCATCCCTTGAAAACTGCAGTGTGGTTCTGTGCCTAGAGAGTTGAGTGATGGGAAGCCAAATGATGATTGTGGGTGATGGCTAGCAGAGGTCCTTAGGGAGGCAACTGTGGAAAAGTAGCCAAGAATCTCAGGTGTGTGGTCATAGCGGCCCAGTCCTGCATTACCCATCGATGCCTTGGGTTGATTCTGCAGGGCAGTGTCCCATTCTTTCACTGCAAGAATCTTCTGTAACTGTGTCAGAAGATGGTGTTAAACTCCTGGATTCATTGCAGAACTTGTGTAGGAGCCCTTAAGTTTCTAGGATTGTTGCTCTTGTAGCTACTTGCAAGGTTCCCTGGACTATGGAATTTAACCAGAACTCTACTAAGACTGGACACAACTCAAGAGTGTTTGATTTTTTTACATTGCTTTTGAGGAAGGGAATGGTTTATTTTGATTTAACAATATCTCATTGAGTGCCTGTTAGCTATGAAGCACTAAACTGAACTCTTTGGGCATGAGGCTATAAGTATAATATATAGAGAGCTGAATAAGTCAAAGTCCCCTTGTAAACACTGTAGTTTATACATATACTGCATTCCCATGAAATACACCTACAATGTCTAAAATGTCCCCAGCCTGGGTTAAGTTGTGTTTCTCTTAGGAACCCTGTTAAAGGGCATCTTTTGAAAAACCCAAAGAATTCACTTTCAGTCCATAACCCCCGGTCCCCGGTGTGAATGGGGACTCAAGAACTATTCAGAAGGTTAGGGATGCTGCTCAGTGGTGGAGTGCTTGCCTAGCATGTGAGGCCCTGGGTCTGATCCCTAACACTGTCAACAAAATAAAAAAGAATGATTCATAAAAGTTTATATAATAAAAGAAATAGACACCACTGCTGGAAAATGATCTGTTTAAATCCCTGCTCCCATTTTCTATCCTGGGTTTGTTTTCTTGTAGAATAAAGGTGAGCAAATCAGTGGTAGGATTGCCCACCCCAAGTCCTCTCATGAGAAGGTGGACCTGAAAACTGTCCCTCCCCCTTCTTCTCCTGCTTCCTTTCTCTCCAACACTATTTTTGTGTCCTCTTTCTTTGCACCCAGCCAAGCACTTGTGAAAAAATTCTACTCCCATACATAGACTCTTCCCTTCCCATAGCACAGGTTCTCTTTCACAATCAAGGCTCAGACTCCAAATTAAATGCATCCATGACCATGTTGATCAGTTTTCATTATGTTATATCAGGCTTGTCTAAACCTAACAGAGACTTGAGTTAGCTAGGTCTTCCTGAGATCGCTATGCAAAGATTTTCCACCTAATTACAGGCACCCGAACCTGCTGTGGGTCTGTAGGTCTTATATTAACTTAACATATTTTTAAAAAGAAAAAGAAAGAAAGAAAAGAAAGACACTCTAAATACCACTTTTACCCTGAATTTAAAAGACTAGATAAATCACATCTCACCCCAGTTCGATGTATATGAATTGCATAAACTTTCCAGACGTGAGAAAATTGGAGCATAGCACCCACTGTGCTAGAAATCTGTTGAAAGTTTGTTAATATCACACACCTGTGTTCCACCATGTCTGCAGATTCATAGGCCTCCTTCCACTGAAATACAATTGACTCAAGCACTCTTAAAAATGTTTTTCTTGAAGTATTCTTGGACTTCATATGAAACAATAAGGCTTTGAATGAACATGTAATAATAATTCATTCACCTAAAGCTATTTCCTTCCAGTTTTGGGGAGTTGTACTCTGCAGTTGAAGTGGTGCTTTCTCCCACTCATGGAGAGTAACTGGCTCTTAGTGCTTACATGTAGAACCTACCTTCCACTTAACATGAATGGTGGAATGTATGAAAAGGTGTATGAGATGCTGTTCAAAACCCTCTGCTGCTCTGAATACATTACAAAGCTTAAGCTTCACAGGTGAAAGTAGGCTCCATCTTCAAGTCAAAGATGGCCATCTGCAGTTAAAGTAATCTTGGAAATATTTAAACAGGATCACTAGGGACTTCCAACCAGGGAGTGAATGAAGGTTCCTTTGGTGGCTGAGGCTCAACTTAGAACCAAGTGTGGGGCTCCAGACTACCAAATCCTTCCCTTGATGGCTTTCATTCTCAGCATCGCCTGTGTATTTATAATGAGAACTCTTTCCTTTTCTTACTAACACCAGGAAATGCACTCTATTATAGTGTTATGCATTTGTTTAGCTTGTATGGTCATTATACTAGTTACAAAGCTATTCAGTAATGGCAGGATTCTGTTGAAACACTAGATAAATACCCACCCACCCCCACCCCAGCAACCTATCACTTTCATAATAAAGTCTCTAATCCTTGAAGCAGTTAATATTGCCGAGTGGCTCAAGAATGCTGAGCATGAAATAAAAAATCAAAATATGCCTGATGAGGTGTTTCTACCATAGAAAGTGTGAAAAGAACAGAACAACAGCAATCCTAGGCTGGACTGAGTTCTGAGCGGCTGTCCTTTCCCTAACGTGCAAATGTTGTCAACATGAGGTTTGATTCTAGAGCTACTTTCCCATCTGCCACATTCCTTTTGCCTCAGAAAATAATTTCTTAGGATCAAAATGAGTCATGTTTTCTCCAACAGTGTGTAGCCTCCTGGTCCTCCTCATGTTCACAAGCACCTAAGGGGACCACTTGTCTTAGAATCAAGTGCCATCCTTAGCAGAATCAGCTTTGGTGACCAGAGGAAGACCTGGTGTAGGGAATGAAAAGCACCCACAAATGAAAAGTAGTTTTAATACGCTTTTCTTTTTCCCACGGTCCCACCATCCCTAGAATTACTTGTATTTTTTGCATCAGAGAAAGCATGAATGAATGAATAATAACTTGAATTTTTCTTTCGTTCTCTCCTGCTTTAGTATCACTAGAACCTTTGCATCGGGGAAAACAGAGAAGGTGATCTTTCAAGCACTCAAGGAGTTAGGTCTTCCCAGTGGAAAGGTACTCGTTAACTTCACATGTTTTAAAATCATTTTGTTATTTGTGCTCTCACATGGGGTAAGCTAGATTATTTACATTAAACTGGCTTCAGTAAGATTCAGAAACATAGAGTACCATTAATTTTCCCTTCACCTCTTTTCCTCTCTCGAAGCAATTTTTTTTTTTTTTTTGGTGCCAGGGATTGAACCCAGGGCCTTGTGCTTGCAAGGCAAGCACTCTACCAACTGAGTTATAGCCCCAGCTCATTTTGCCAAGCATTTTAATGAAAGCTTTGAGAATTCAACTAGTTTGTTTCAGAGTAAATTTTGTCAGCTGAATTTTGTCAGCCTTATTAAGATAAGGAAATGAAAGCAAGGCTGTTTCTTACACAGTTTATGGAGCTTATTTTAGAGAAGTCCAGCCATACTGGTGTCAACTAGGTACAGCATCAGCTTGAATAATTAACTAATCAACTCAGTTCTTCAAGGTGACCTTGCAATACTTTAGGAAGCATTCCTCCTCAAACCAACCATTTGTGGTTGTGGCTCTTCTGATTGAAGATAATTGAAATTAATTTATGGACTGAAAGAAAGCTCTAAGCCGGTGACCACTTTAACGAGTTCTATTTGAAATGTACATTTCAGTGTGACAAGTAATACCTTGAATGGTCCACCTAAGCCCCTTTCTGTGGAACTTCTGAAGATTCACAAAACTAGCATAATTAAATACTAGGCTTGATTCATTCAGTATCTTTTAAGCAGGCATCTACTTTCTTCCTCAAGGAGAGAGAGAAAAATTTTCTATTTGTTCTATGTGTGTTTCTGAGAGAAACCCTGCTATAGCCAGATGTTCCCACAAACTGTGGTTTCCTAGTCACTAGAAGTGCTCACTTTCACATGCTCTGATCTAGCAGGGTGATTAGGAAGTTGGCCTCTTGGCTTCTGGGATGCCAAGTGGTACACTTGACTTCATGACGTTGTAGATGCCTACCCTCAAAAAAGAAAAAAGTTCCTTGATTTGTGACTTTTTTTTTTTTTACTCTTTACAGAATGATGAAATTGAACCTGCTGCCTTTACTTATGAAAAGTTCTATGAACTGACACAAAAGATTTGTCCTCGGACAGATATAGAAGATCTTTTTAAAAAAATGTAAGTTCCAATTATGAGAAAGTGATGTGTAAATATCTTTGTTCTTTTAGATTTTTAAAACATTATTTGCCATAATACGTTAATATAGGATGTTGGTAGTGCTAGGAATATTCTAGTTGGGGTTATATTTTCACCCCTTAGTTTATCAGTATATAAATTTAGTCTGAGATTTTAAGAAACTTTACATAAATTAATTTCAGCACCTGGAATTTCCCCCCCTCCCCCCCGCATTGGCTTTACTAACTACCTACAATTTTAACCTGCTCCTTTAGGTATTAACCCATTATGTGAACTAACTAGATTCAATTTGGAATGTTAATATGTTTTTGAAAAGTTCATTCATTCCAGTTATTTCAAATGGATGACTTACATGTTGTTTTGAAATAACACCTTCTGGTAATGCTAAAGAATTGCAGATATCTTCTGTGACGTAGTGGGAGTGTTTTCTTTCCTTTGTCATTGTTGGGTTTTTCCCCCTTACAAACAGTCTGGCCATTTTAAGAATTTGCCACTATGACAGGGTTAGACAATAAGTTTAGAATGATCACCAACAAATGTCAACATGTAAATCGTGCCTACTGTAGCAATCGTATACAAAAACTTACTTTTTCTAATAAATTTCTTTTCAGCAATGGAGACAAAACTGATTATTTAACGGTAGACCAATTAGTGAGCTTTCTAAATGAAGTAAGCTTTTTCATACATTAACTCCATAAAGTCTGTGTGCAGTTGGCTTGCGTCCCCAGTGTCCTCATTGCATGCCCCAGTCCTCTGCCCTTCTTTGCTTTGCTTCTGACCTGCTGATCTTTCCATGATGGCTCTACCAGGTGCAAAAATCAGCTCCTACCTGTGTGTACATGTGCTTCTTCTACATTGGCTTTGCACCCTGCTTCTCATTGGTTTTCCGCTGTGACATGAAGCTCTGCTTTTGTGTGTATGTGTGTTTTTTAATATATTTATTTAATTAAATGTGTCTATGTGTATTGCAAGATGATATTTAAGATAATTTTTTTTCTCCTGTTGATTCCATTAAATAGAAAGATAATGGATTGAGTTACTGTAGATGGATTCTCCATTGCTAACTTTTTGTCATACCCTTTGCATGGATTGGAGAGCTTTATTTTTGTCTTTTAATGGATTGCATGTAAGAAAAGTATGTAGTTTCTGATAGAATATTTTGACAACAAGCAAAACACTTGAGTTCCTGGGTGAAAATAATCTATTGAGTATTAGGCCAATTGAATTGCAGGTTCAATTTTTGCTTTTTATTTTTATAACAAGCTCAGAGTTAATTTTAGAACATGATTCACTTAACCACCAAAACTGGTTGATGAAATTTACGTAAGCACAAGAGAAAAACATTTTAGGACAAGTAAAGGTCACAACTTTTATTACAACTGAAATGAACTTTTTTTTTCTTTACATGTACAAAAACCATTTTTAGCAAAATCCATCAAAGCTCTTAGGAAAAAAAAATCCCTTTTTTCCCCAATTCATGAAAAATAAGAAGAATTTGAGTGAAGGATAAACAGCGTATTTTTGTTCCAAAATAACTTAAGTTAACCATCATGTTCTATAAAGAAACATCATTAGAAAGGGTAGGAATGGGCCTGGGAGGTAGAGGTTAGTGGTAGGGCTCGTGCTTCAGAAGGCCCTATGTTCAATCCTCTGCATAAAAAGAAAACAAAAGAAGGAGGAGAAGAAGGGCTAGGAATGTAGCTCAGAAGCAGAGTTTGCCTCTCATGTTTGAGACCTAGCATTCAATCCCCAGTACCGCAAAAAAAGAAGAGGAAAAAATGGTTATCATGCTAGACAGAAGGTATTGCCTTAAGAAAAGACAACAGTCAGTGATTTGCTACTTTGTAGAAACAAATCACATTTTTGCCAGAGGTCCTCTCTTTTCATTGTTTGTGAAGGTTCACTGGCTTCCTATTCATAGGGTCACACTTTAGAAACTACGTATCAATCAGAGTCTAGATGTACTGAGACAAAAAAGAAAAGGGAGGGACTCCACCTGCCTGCACAGAGGCCTCCACTTTGAAGTCATACTGTCCGTACAATACAATATTTATTTTACTTGAAAATGTTTCAGGTTTTTCCACTCCACTAGTCTCTAGTCATGTGAAAATTATGTTTGAAATCTTTACCCAGATACTATCCACATTCTTATGCCACAGTCGCTTTAGAAATTAAATTGCCTGCCTTTGCTTTATTTCCTGGGCCCCTCCCCTCTCCCTCTTCCTCCTTTTGTGTTTTTTGTTTCATTGTTTTATTTTCCTCAGCTTCCTCATGCACTCTGGTTAATTGATCACCTTGAATTTGGTACCATGGGCAGGAATGAGCTTCCTACTAACAAGGGAAGACGGTAGAGAGGAGAAAATCTACTGTGTCGTCAACTTGTGGCTTCCTACAATAAGGCTTCTTATGTGCTGTGACATGGGATGGAGCCAGCAACCAGTCATCAATTAAACGGGGAAACTTCATACCACATTTTGTGTTCAAATTCAGAAATAGCCCTGAGGATAGGTGCAGCCTTCCTTGGCTCATGCCTGAAACATTTCCTTTTATGGGTTGTTTTTGATCAGTCTACCCAATAGTCACTCTTTAAATCCCTGTACAGTTTTTAAAATTTTATTTGAACATTTCATTTAAATTTTATGGTTAAATTTTTATTGAAAATTTTATTTTAAAAATGTTTAAATTTGTATTAAATGTTTTTAAGTCTTTATTCAATATACATCTATATCAGATCCCCCGTATTTTCTTTGCCTTGGCATCCATTTTCTATACTAATAGTCAAGCTTTTCTCTCTCACCATGACAGTAGACAATGATATTCTTTCAGTTTTTATGTTTCTTTCTATTTGGCTTCACCTTGACATTAAGGTGGTGGCTTGAGTTTTTGAGTGGGACTGGATGGAATCAGTGTGATTCTAGATTTCTTCAGGTGATAGAAACTATAAGCCAGTCTACTGTATCTCTTCAGTTTCAGTCCTAGTGAACACAGCAGGAAGGACTAGACAAAAATATGAGAGTCTCCTTGAAGAAGTTGTCAAACCTAGAGAACATTCTGCCAACACCTCACGCTCACTTTCTTGAGTCTACCCTTGTCCCTTCAATCTCTCCAAAAAGAAAAATAAAATAAAAACTTATCTTTAAATCAAGACTTAACTATAATGTGGAAGAGAACTATAGTTGCTAACTATGAACATAACTGTGCTGTGTCTCCTTTCAAAACCCATGCCAAAAGGGGACACAATGAGCTCCCTCAAGAAAGGATCTGGCCTTGGAATGTAAGGGACTCTGATCCAAAGGTTACATCTTAACATTTGGAAAATGCCTTAGCCATATAATCTCAACAGGCAGTGTTCACCATTGCAGCTGGAAGCCTTGGATCTTGCAATAAGGCAGGGAAAACTCAGAAACACTGGGAAGTCCAAGGCCTTCGCCTCTGTGAATGCAGTTGTCAATGGTCTACATGGATATCCAAAACAGTTAACTGAAGAACTCTTTGAATTTATAAGAGAGTTCATCAAGGTAACCATTACAACCAATCTGGAAAGCAAAAACCCATAGATACACATGGCCATCAATGGTAACCAACTGGAACAGATTATAGGAAAAGAAATCCCCTTTATGATATGCTGGCTCCCACACCTTCTTATTCTTTCTGTGGAATTTTCTGTTCAATATACTCATGTGTACCTAAAGGAGGTGGGAAGGAGAGAATAAATGATTGGTCATTTATTACCTTGGTCTCTGTAGGGTCTATGCCACCCCCTCTCTATCCATGCCATTAACAGTCACTAGCCTGTCAGGGGTGGCTTCACATCTGCCTCCTCACCTGCTTCTCAGTATCTCCTTGGTCTTTGCTCCAAAAAGTGTGATCTGTGGACCAGCAGCACTGGTATGGCTCAGGGAGCTTGTTACAAATGCAGCATCTTCAACCCCACTCAGACCTGCTAAGTCAGAGTTAGTCCTCTTCACATTAAAGTTTGTGCAGCACTATCTAGTAGATTACTGGAGTCTTCCTTGGAATGCTTAGTGTAAGTGGGAAGAAAATGGGAATGGTACACATATTCTGATAAAGAATTTAGTCATGGCAATTCGTCAATCACATCTAAAATTTTGCCACAGTATGTCAATAGGTCCCACCCAATGAACAGGGGAAACTTTCTTTGCCAAACTTATGAAAATAACAAACTGGAGTCTAGGAATGCTAGTGGAGGCACTTCATGGAAGTTGGCACATGGTCTGATCTACTGTCAACACAGTTGCTTGTGGGTGGCAGAATTAAAGTCTCTCTCTGGGCTTCAGTTAGTTTCAACTCCTTTTCCCTGTTCCTTATGAGAAACTAAATTGATTTCAGTATTGCCATCATTTTCCTATTTGAATTCTTACACAGATGGCAACAACTAAGAGCCTGCATAATTGAGGGATGCATAAAGGGTAGGAAAGAAAGATAAAAAAAAGAAGAGAGTAAAAAGGTGGTGCATGGCCACCTTGACCAGGAGTTGGCTTTATTTTCTTTTACTGGTTACTTTCCCCTGCCATACACTGTCATATGATCACGCTTATAAATTCAAAGAGTTCTTCGGGCTAAACATGATTTTTTTTTTTGCAGTTGGAAATATATGAGCAAGAGCTCACCATCTATTTCCTTTCACAATATCTTTATTCTTTAATGCACAGGCAAAGAGAGAGGTATTTTGGCTTTATGAGTAAACTTGACTTGCCACTTATTCCTTTCTCTTTGTTATATCTTGTTTGAATATTACTTTTATTAACGTCCATCTTCTCCAATGCTACCTGTATTGAAGTAGCTGATGCCTTTTCTTAAGAAGGACAGAGTAATGGGGACCTGTCCATTATCTCCTCTTTTTCTTGGGCACAATTTTGTGACCTATTTTTGGAAGCTATTTAGACTCCCATTCTACAAAACACTGGATACTATGAGGTGAATATTCTGGGTACATTGTTTACCTGACTGAAAACTGATGGTCCCTCAGAGCTGGGAAGAATCTGCCTCATGGTGCTGTGTCTAAGTGGAACTCTTCTGCAACCTCATTACTCTTAGTGTACCTGGACATCATTTTCTCCTCATTGCATTTTTGCATAAAAGTTGTAGTTTTGTGACTCTTAACTGTAAACCTTATCATTTGTTCCCTGCCTCTGGATTATCCAGAATTTTTTTTTCAATGTGAAAATTTTAGGGAAACCAAAGAGTATGTTATCTGGCAGAATAGATGCAAAGACAAATGCAATTCCATCTTGTCTTCACTGCTTGCTGATTTGCACTGGGAATATAATTTTTAGAATAGTGGGTTATGAGACATACATTGTAAGACTCAGTTTTCCTGTCTATTGCTTCTGATAGAGGTTGAATGACTATCATGTACTTTGACACATTTTTTTAAATATCTTTTTTAAAGAGAGAGAGAGACAGAGAATTTTTAATTTTTTTAATATTTATTTTTTAGTTTTCGGCGGACACAACATCTTTATTGTATGTGGTGCTGAGGATCGAACCCAGCGCTGCTCGCATGCCAGGCGAGCACGCTACGCTTGAGCCACATCCCACGCCCCCTCCTCTGACACATTTTAATGGGGTTTACCTGGAAGTCATTTTTGTAGATTTTAGGTACCTTTTTTTTTGCATGCATATACAAATGTGCTAAGATGCATACCATTACAGGTTAGAGCTTCTTAAACTTGGGTGCATCAGAATCACTAAAAAGCTTATTAAAACGTGAATTCCTGTGTTCTGCCCCAGAGAATCAGATTCAGTAGATCCAGCCATAGAGGACTGAGAATCTGCATTTCTAACAAGTTTCCCAGGTGTTGGTGACATTGCTGCCACCATACTTTGAGTAGCAGTTTTAGAATACACACATCTCTCTATATAAAAATACATTAAAATGTCTGAATTCCGTCTCCTCCTTTCCTCGATTTTCTCTCTTCCCTCTCCATAGCTGAGTATCACTTCTTTCTGTCACTTTTTTAATTCATATGGATTTGCCCCATCATTTCCATCAGTCCAGAATACTTATCAATGAGCATATCTCGAAGTCAAAAGATTTCATTTTACTATGGAAGAGAAATACAGTGGCCAACTATATGTTAACTGCTCTGTGATCTAATAAAGGATCTTCCATGATACTGTTTATGGGAGGAGGGATGTGCCTACAAAGAAGGTTATTTTGTTTGCTTTTAAAATAGTGCATTCTCACATGGGTACAGGTGGTCATTTCCTTGAACAGGGAGCTCTACTGCATGATGGTCTCATTTTCTAAACAAGGTGCAGCATGCCTTCACTTGCCTGGCACTCCACGGCCCACCTCACAATATCTTTTTCTGTGCTCATACCATCACTTTTGTTCTTTGTGTTTTCAAGAACCATTATGAATATAACAGTGTCTGCTTTGGCATTTGCATGATTATGAGCTGTTAAGACCTGTAATTTCTCAGATTACAACAGAAGCATGCTTCATTGGGATAAATTGCCAAAATATATCAATTTCTTATAATTTAACACTCTTCACTCAATGGTGGGAGGTGGGAAAATGAGAAAGGCTAAGACCACCTATGCTTTAGGAAATGATATCAAGTGTTCCATTGGCCAAAGACATTCATTCTCAATATAGACTTCCACTCAAATGATCATCCCCAAGCAAATGGGGACGGGAAATCCATATGAACTTTTTTTAACAATTGTTTCTAAATACCTTTCCAATAATGTCTTTCAAAGTCTGTGCATATATTTGGGTAAAGAATTGTTGCTAAGGTTCTTTTTGTTGACAAGATCTTGCTCACATCTGCTTATCAGTTATTATTCCATGAAAGTTTGCTTTATTTATTTATTTATTCATTTATTCATTCATTCATTCATTTGAGAAATGGCCAAGAACACAATGCAAACCTTTCATCCACAGTAAGGAAGTTTAATGGATCCACTGCCTACACACACACACACACACACACACACATTGTAGCTAGGTCAAGTAGTAAGGACGTGTCACTATACCTGTGAAATTAGGATGGCTTCACTTCAGGAAGCAGCTCCAGAAGCATCTTAAGTGCCCATTTTAAAAAGATGATGTCATACATTTTCTGCCCAATTTTCTCAGGGAAATGGAGTTAAATTTTATAGTGAGACTGGGCATGGTAATATGCACCTGTGATCCTAGCAACTTGAGAGGCTGAGACAGGAAGATCACAAGTTTGTGGTTAACCTGTGAAATTCAGGGAGATCCTGTCTCAAAATCATAATTTAAAAAAAAAAAATTAAAGGCTGGGAGCATAGCTCAATAGTTGAATGTTCCTGGGTTCAATCTTAACTACCAATAAATAAATAAATAAATAAATAAATAAATAAATAAATAAATAAATAAAAGTTCGTAGCAAACAAGTTGCTTCTGAACTACTTATTTAAATGCAATTTCATATGGTTTATAGCTTATCAATATTCCTTATTCTAACTTTTATCATGACAATTGATTTATTTTGAAAAAATATGAACTCGAGAAAATGAAGTTTTCATGGTGCCCAAAAAGTCTCTTAATGACATAGAAAGATGTAATGAAAATGAAATGATATTTGCCTGTCTAACATTAGGGGGTTTTTTGGAATTGTTTTGGTTTTGGTTTTGCTTTGTCACTTAAGCTAATATATGATCTCTTGATTTATTGGAACTATTTTTTATTTTTTTATTTATTTTTGCTTCTTTCTAAAACTAGTTTTAACATTAATTTTTTAATATTATCAAATATTTTTATCTCACTTTTTATAGACAGCTGTGCCCGAAAAATATGATATGGGAAATAAAAGACAATACAGTGGACACACACACTATATTATAAGCCTTCAACTTTTGAAGGGGGAAAAAACCCCATATTTCCTCTCCTTCCTGTTCAGTGAGAGGAACCAACAAAGTACTCCCAAATTTGGACTTTTTGAAATATATTTTAGGAGGAAAGACAGAAAGGCAGTGAAGTCTAAGTGAAGTTATAAACATGATAGTCTAGCTATATCTTGTTTTAGAAATTATATACTTAGATATGTGAAATGCCTCCAGGGTGAGAAATGTCAACCTAAATGGAGTTATTTTCTCATCATAGCATCAACGAGATCCTCGACTGAATGAAATTTTATTCCCATTTTATGATGTTAAAAGGGCAATGCAGATCATTGAGATGTATGAGCCTGATGAAGATTTGAAGAAAAAAGGTAATTAAAAATGTTAAAAAGGCCTTTTTTTTTCCTTTTGAAACAAGAAAACATGCAACTTTTAAAGCTCTTGGATTTTTAATTTAAGGTATCTATTAATGCTTTGGAGCTCCATAAAGCCACATGCCACATATTAGTAACTGATTTCTTTTTTCTGCTCTTAAGTTAGTGTAAATTATCTTTCTTCCAAATTAGTCCTTGCTGCCTAAGATATACCATTAAATTTATTGTGCTATTAAACATAGTATTTTTTTCCCAACATACTTTTGTATACTACTGGATTTTTTGAATGTTGCTTAAAATGTAAGAATGCCAAATACGGTCCCTATTTGCAGTCTGTGAAAATAATCTCTGTCATGTAAAGTTTTCACCTCCTTTTCCTCTTTTTTGTTTTGCCAAGCCAATTAAATTTGACACATGATTTGATGTGCCCTCTCAGCCCTCATTTGACTTCTGGAATGGAAGATAAAAACAAATGACATGAAATTAAATAGTCAGGAATTACTTTAGCAAATTGTTTGCATTTCTGGACCTTTGCCCCTTTCAATGAAACTTTGGAAACAATGTGTTGCCTAAATATTTGTCAAAGGAAAGGCATGGAGAAGAATTTGAAGGTCAGTGCCATAGCAGTGGGAAGCACCTGCTGAGGGCTGGAGGGATGGTGTAGTCATAACTGGACGCTGCTGGCCTCATGTCTCAGTGGACACTCAAAGGAGATCCAGGTTTAGGTTCTATCTGTCCCACGTGGTTATAAATTTCAGGGCTTCAGCTTCCTCCTCTTATGGTTTCTTTCTCTTTTATTTTTATTTACTTATGTATGTATGTATGTATGTATGTGTTCATGGACTTGGTACTGAGGATTGAGCCCAGAGGTGCCTTACCACTGAGCTACATCCCCTATTCTTTTTATTTTATTATTATTATTTTTTTAATTTTAAGACAGGGTCAGCTAAATTGCTGAAGATCTCACTAAATTGCTGAGTTTAGCTTTGAATTTACAATCCTCCTCCCTTATTCTCTCAAATTGCAGAGATTACAGGCCTGCACCACCATGCTCAGTTAAAATGTGTTCCTTCTTTTTTTGTATCTATTGCATGTGAATGTGACTGAACAGTTTATTTGTTCTCAGAACATATATAGGACCTGTTTATAGATATGTCTAGCCCACCATACCGGGGTTTTTCCTTGAATGTAGTCATACACTTACGCTTTTTTCTAGGGTCACAAATGCCTATTTTTATCAAGAGTACTTCATTATTTACCTCTACCAATATTCTGATTATCATAATTTTTCCACATTATATGTAATTAAAGCAGAGGGAGGATCAGTAGTAGAAGTGATGAGGTTCATGTCACTTCCCTGTTACTGTGTAACCTCGAGTAAGGGAATTGCATCCTGGGCCCTAGTTTCCCTGCTTGTAAGATGGTGGGTGGGGTTCACATAGTCATTAACTACTTTTTCTCTTCATTACTGTTATTTTTTGCTTTTATTGTAGTTTTTTTTTTTTTTTTTGGGGGGGGGGTTCTTGGGATTGAACCCAGGACTTCACACATACTAAACATGGGCTGTACCACTGAGCTATTCCTGCAGCCCCTACTGTTATTTTTTAAAAAATTTATAGAGGGCTAACTGCATACCAAGCACTGTGCTAAATGCTGGGAATTCAAAACTACATGAGAAATGTCTCCTGCTTTGTAGGCAGTTTTGATCTGTTCAAAGGGTAAGCCAAGTGATTCAACGATTCCTCGGCAAATGTTATGATAGATGGGTGTCTTTGGTTATTTCTAAAGTCCTTCCAAGTTATTACCATTCACACATCAAAAAAGTGTACCGAATCTTCTGTAAGTTTTCCAAAGTCTGGATGTCAGAGTGACAGAGCTCAGTGCTCTGACTTCTGCTCCCTGGGTACTCACTCCTTGAGTGAGCTCATGCAGGCCAGTGGCTTGAAATTTCTTTCATCTGCATCTGATTTCCAAATTAAACCCTCCAGTCCCAACTGCTAACAAACTACAGACCTGCCACAGAACTGTCCATTTGGATGCTGAGTAGGCATTTCCAATGTGTTCTACAACATGCTTTGATTCTCCCCATCTCCATATCTGTTCCTTTCCCTGCCCATAAAATAATCCCATTGTTCACTCAGCTTTTCAAGTCAAAGCCCTGGGCATCATCCTGAACTTGTTTAATTCTTTCACATCACATCTGATCCAGCAGCAAAACTACAAGATCCCAACCTCAACATAAATCACCTGTCATGGTCTCCACCCTACCAGGCTATTCAAGCCCACATCCTTCCTCTCCAGGCAACCAGTTGACTTCTAACTGGTCGTCCTTTTTACTCAGCACCATGCTCTACGCAGCAGCCAGAGTAAACCTCTTGAAATCAAATCCAATGATATTCCACTTTTCAAAATATCTGAAAGCTTTCCAACATACCTAGGATAAAATCCAAAGTACTTAGGACTGAAGTCCAGCTCACATAGACTTTCACTACTTCTCCCAACTCATTTCCAGCCACTTTCCTCCTGGGTCACTCACTCTATCTTGCTGTCATTGAGTGAACTTGGCATACACACTCCTATATCAAGGTCTTTGCACTTGATGATCCTTCTGCCTGGAAAGGGGCTTCCCACCCCATATGTGCATGGGGCTTGCTCACCATGCATGTGAGGTACCTCCACAGAGGGGCTTCACTGGCCACATATCGAGCACAGCATGCTGCCATTTCTTCATCATCTTTATTCCTGCTTTCTTTGTCCTTCTAGAACTTTTATGACATATTTATTTGTTCACTTGTTTATTTATCTCACTCATAATGTGTGGGTTTCATAAAACAGGACTTGTCTGCGTTTTTCTATCACTGCATATCCCAATGCTTCAAAAACTACCTGCTCTTAGAATGAATAAATGTACTCAAGGAGAGAGGTATACAAACTTTTATTGCATACTTTCAGGTATGATTAAAACTGACCTAAATATGCATCAACAGAATAATGGAAAAAAAGGTATAAGTTATACATTCAATATGGACTACTGTACATGAAAAATAAATGAACATATGTCAGCTGGATAAGTCCTAAGAAAACATATAGGAAAAATAGCAACTTTCAAATGCTTCAAAAAGACTAGGATAGCTCTTTTATAAATTCAAAGGCATTTGAAATGATCTATTGTTCCAAAAAAGGCATATGTGAATAAATGCATAAGTGAAACTGAAAAACTGTGAGGAATGTTAAACACAAAAGCTAGAGGGAAGTGGTTACAAGCAGAAAGATAAAAATTAGCTGGAACTGATGTGGGGCACTAGGGCACTTCAGTGCCATTTGTAATTATGTATTCATTTTTAAAATGTAAAGCAATGAAACAAAATGTTAATATGTGACAAATCTGTGGTGTAGGTCTATGTCAGTTTATTATGCTATCTGTAGTTTCCTTGAACTGGAAATCAATTCATAACTTGCAAATGCTTAAATTTAAAAAAGCAAAGAGCCTAGGCTGTCAGTAGTTGATAGGTAGAAGATGCTTAAATATAATGCCCTTTTCCTGCAACTACCATTAGCTCCCAGCCCTGTGTCAAAAAAAAAAAGTGCAATTGAAATGAACAAGGGCTCTTGGGGCCACATTTCAATGACCCCTGCATATTTTTCTCACCAGCCTCACCCCCTACCTTTTTAAATAAAATAGAAAAATAAAATTGTTTAAATTTGGAGGACACCATATCCAGGAAAAAATCCCTTTTCCAATTCAGTGGGAAAAGTACTGACTTATAATTAATATTATTTCCATTTTTTAAAGAACGCCTCTTATATATATTCTCAATTGGTTCTGGAAAGAAATGGGACCAGTATTTTTTCTCCACTTGGCAGAAGAGGAAGCTGAGAGCCAGGGAGTGACAGAAATAGAGCTAGAGAAAGTCCCCTGACCTCTTGTAACCATTGCTTATAGCACTGTGTTTTTTAATCGGAGGAACATGTACTTCCATTATCTTGGATATAAAAAAATGCCACCTCTTTGTTGAATGCCTGTGTTATTTATAATTTGCCATTCTATGACTTTGTTCAAGTTCTGTAAGATGAAGTTTCTTAGGAAGGTAATATGAAGAAGTTTTTACTCTTGCTGTACAAGCCAACTTGCCTTCCCTGGATAAATGAGATGTACATCTTCAGAGCTACAGGTGCTATTAAGATATTCTTTTTCCCCTAGGACTCATATCAAGTGATGGGTTTTGCAGATATCTGATGTCAGATGAAAATGCCCCAGTCTTCCTAGATCGTTTAGAGCTTTACCAAGAAATGGACCATCCTCTGGCTCACTACTTCATCAGTTCTTCCCATAACACCTATCTCACTGGCCGACAGTTTGGTGGGAAATCTTCGGTAGAAATGTACAGACAAGTTCTCCTGGCTGGTTGCAGGTCAGAAACTCAGAGATGGCCATTTGGGACATATGGGGTAGGGGGGTTATACAGTGCTCCTCAATGTATAGTTGTCCCCCCTTATTCACAGGGGTATATTCCAATACCTCCAATAGATGCTTGAAATCATGTATAGTATCTAACTCTATATACTATTTCTCGCTATATATACATACATATGATAAAGTTTTACTTATAAATGAAGTAAAATAAGAGATTAATGACAATAACAATAATAAAATAGAACAATTATTAAAAATGTACTGTAATAAAATTGGCCACATTCCTTGTGCTTTTGAGGCTTTACTGAGTACAATAAGCCTTACTTGAGCACAGTGGGATAATCTGACAGATAACTAAGAAGGCTATTAAGTGGTTACTGGGGGGGTAGTGTATACCTTGTGGATACACTGGGCCATGGAATGATTCACATTGGAGGTTGGACATTGGGGTAGCAAGAAATTTAGTTGTGCTACTCAGAATGCTGTACAATTAAAATCTTATGAAATGTTTATTTCCGGTATTTTCCAATTAATATTTCCTGACCACTGCTGATCATGGATAAATAAACTAGGAGTAAGGGAGGACTACCATAGTTTATTTTTTTCTGAAATAAGAAGTTGTAATCAGAGTGAAAACAACATTTGTGGTTCTGTTTAATGGATTATGATGGCCATTTAACCTTGAGAAAGAAAGAACAACATTACTTTCAGAAAGGTCTAGCCTTGTTTATAACACAAAAGATACTATTTTACACTAAATAGGCCCCCAAAAAATGACAAAAAAAAAAACCTCACACTTTTTAGAAGTCATGGTTTTTACTAGTTATAGGTACTTGCAAATTTAATGTTAAAGGCTCAGAAATTTCATTCTCTAAGAAGAGATTACTAAAAATATTTTTTACAATTGTAGTCAAATATTTGAGATTTTAAAATGGCCAGAATGTTGAAAGTGAAAAATAAAAAAAGAAGGTGCACTATGACTTTTTTCTTGGTTACCGATTAAGCAAAACTTTATTTTTTTTAACACACAATTTTTGTATGTGGAAATACTTTTAAAAGAAATTAACCACATCCCTACTTCTATTCACATACTTCCTCTGAATACTTGAGTTTTTTGTTTTGTTTTGTTTGTGGTGCTAGGGATCAAACCCAGAACACCTTGTGCATGTGAGGCAAGTACTCTACCAACTGAGCTACATCCCCAGCCTGAATACTTGAGTATTAATCACTAAAAAAAAAGAAAAAGAAAGAAAAGAAATTCTTACATAGTGAACATAACATGATCCCACTTAATACAATTAAAAATAATTTAATGTCAACTGGGCATGGTGGCACATGCCTGTGATTCCAGTGGCTCAGGAGGCTGAGGCAGGAGGATTGCAAATTCAAAGCCAACCTCAGCAACTTAGTGGATCCTAATTAAGCAAATCATGGAGAACCTGTATCAAAATAAAGTATAAAAACAGTTGTGAGTGTAGCTCAGTGGTAAAGCACCCCTGGGTCCAAACCCCAGTACCAAAATAATAATAATAATAATAATAAAATAATTTATTGTTATCTAAATCCAGCCTACATTCAAATTCCCCCAGTTATCCTCTCATTGTTCCTTATTGAATTCATACAGAACTGTACTACTTGTCTCCTCTTAAGTCTCTTAATCTGACTCAGCCCTTTTTGATGATACCAAACTGATGAGAAGAATAATGTGTTTTAGGCTGTATATGTCATGAAATAGCCCTGTTGCAAAATTCATCTGATTTCCTGCTCTCTAAGGAAACAACTTATTTTGATGCCTCTCTTTGAGTTTGTATACACACTCTTCTATTGTAAGAATTCCATGTTGTCATTTTTGCTGTGTTCCTAGGTGTGTTGAACTTGACTGTTGGGATGGAAAAGGTGAAGATCAAGAACCAATAATAACTCATGGAAAAGCAATGTGTACAGATATACTTTTTAAGGTATGTTTTAAAATTACACAGCCATAAATTCTTTCAAACTGTTATGTAGGCAATAGGGAGGTGGAAAATAATATTTTCATTTTCTCAAGCATTGTGCCTTCATATTTCTTTCTTCCAGGTTTGAGGGGAGATGCACGACAAATGTTATCTCCACTTAATGTCTTCTTGTATGATTTTTCCTGCTTTCAAATGGCAACGATTGCATAATGAGGTTTCTCCAGCAGTCTCCTAGTTTACTTACCTAAAAACTTCAGAGTCTTATCTACTTATTTGTTTGCTTAATTTGCATTTTCTTGAAGGACTTAAAGGCAGCATAAAAAATAAATATAGGAAAAAAGTAGATTATAGACAGACAGGACCTGTAAGAATAAAAGAATGAGGTTAGAGTTTATAGATGCTTGTCAAGAAATCTTATAATCTTGCACAAACCCATGATTTACAGGATCCATAAATGAAAAGCACAATTATTATCAGAACTGACATCAATGAAAAATTTTCTATCATTATGAATGGGCATCTCAGTAATGGTGATGTCCGTGTGTGATTTGAAGAGTGGTTTCTTAGAGCTGCTCAATATGCCACTGGTAGCCTGACAAAAGATAAGTCAAAGAAATTCTGTGATTGGCCAATAAGTCAGATCCACCTGTGTTCTTTTGAAGTAGCACAGGATGGGTATTGCAATACCTGGAACAATTGATTTCTCAATTCCACATGTGAAAAATCACCAGAGATGTTTTAAGAAACCCAGACACCTAGGTCCTATACCTGTAACACACCACAAATATCATTTCTCTTAGCCACAATATTGATAGGTTTTGATGAGTAGTTGCTCAAGATTATGCTTCCTGGGAAGAGCCAAGAAATATGCAAGTGGGAAGCTGTGAATTTGCACAGCCAGCCAAATTGATAGGGAAGGCTATGAACTCTCCTTAGAGAATTAAGGACCCTAATAAGGAAGCATAGGTGAAAAACAGGCCATTCCCTCTCAGCTTGGACTGAGCAAAGGAGGACCCCAGAGTAGCACCAGAGTTTTCCTTAAAACATAATTCTTGGTCAAGTGGATAATTAAGGACATGAACTTTAACCTGGGAAGAAATTTTAAGCAAGAATAACTAAATGGCCAGGTGCAATGCTGCACATCTATAATCTTAGTGGCTTTAAAATCTGATGCATGAGGATGACAAGTTCAAAGCCATCCTTAGCAATTTATCGAGGCCCTAAGCAATTTAGTGAGACTTGGTCTCAAAATAAAAAAATTTAAAAAGGGCTGGGGGTGTTGCTCAATGGTTAAGTACCCTTGGGCTCAAAAAAAAAAAAAAAAGAAAAGAATAATTAAATGACCAACTCAACCATAAGGATGCTTACATAAAATATTGTAAGCTTACCTGACCTTGAGGATTATCCTTTCAAATGGACTTCCCTGGATAACTATGGTAAAATATTTTCCTGATTTCATTGAGTGAAGTGCTTGCCCTGTGGTTAGCCACCAATTATTAAATAAATGCTTTTACACCTGTTTTTCTAAAGCAAAGTAGAGACTTGGGCTCACTATCTTATAAGGCCTCTCCATTTTCACAGAGATAGTGGGAGGGGGATACATTCGACTCATTCAAGTGCAAGGGAGATCCTGAGCACACCCTGTTTTACCTGGCATGGTGCTTGACCACAGAGAATCCCTCCCCTGAAACTCCTCCCCATATCAACCAGGCCAATATGAAACAACGAATATTGCAAATGTTACATCTATATTGAATTAATGAAATGTAGCCCAAGACTGATCCCCAAACACAGAGGAGTCAATAGAATTTTCTAGCAATCCGAAAGGTAATACCAACACATTTCTCCAGAGGTGGAAGGAGTTAAAGAGGGATCTCTTGGAAAAATCCCTGTGCCAAAGCTTAGCTTCTCCTCAGAGAGAATGTTGAATACTGAGCCCCTGGCTTGGAAGATCATCAGGTAAGTAACAAGGAGATCACTTAAATAAAATGTCTTGTAAGTTGACAGTACCATCATTCTGGAGGTATAAAAGATAGCTTTGGGTAAACAAATGTCATTAACCATTAACTGCATACTTGGTCAATCGTACTATTAGAGGTATCAAGGTGGATGGGTTCTCCAGGTCTGAGTGGCTGCAATTGACTTTCAGCAAGAAAGTCTCAATTAATGAACTGAATAGTTTGAGGTGCCTTGAATTTTTCTGCTCTTTTATCTCATTAACCACTTTTTATTTTTAAAGGATGTAATTCAAGCCATCAAGGAAACTGCATTTGTCACATCCGAATATCCTGTAATTCTCTCCTTTGAAAATCACTGCAGGTATATTGATTCATTTTACTCCAAGATACAAAAGATGTTGTTTCCTAACTCCTACTCCTCATCCTCACCTTAGCAGTGTATCTTTTTAAAAAACTGTGTAGTTTGTTTTTGAATTGCTAAGTGCCAACTGATCTTCCAGTAAGTATGGAGAATCTTATGCAAACCCCATCTCTCCAAAAAAGTCATCTTCACCTGGTTTAGAAAACCCTTGCTCTAAACAAAAGGTCAAAGATTGGACACCTTGCTTCAAGTTTCATTGAGTTGGAAGATTTGAATATAACTTAACAAACATTGTTGCATTCTTACCAGTTTTAGTGTGGGGGTGACTTTATTTTTAATCGAATCAGTTAAAGTTTGGTATTTGAAAGTATCTCATTCACATTGTAAGGATAATCATGCATTTTGCAGATGAGATTCTTTAATTGCCTAGAATGGTGTTTTCTTAAACTTGGAAGGTTAATGGATGTTTGAATTTACAAATGCCACTTCTTTCTCTCCAGCAAATATCAACAGTACAAGATGTCCAAATATTGTGAAGATCTATTTGGGGATCTCCTGTTGAAACAAGCACTTGAATCACATCCAGTATGTATTTTTAGAAAACCATATTTCTAGCATGAATGAATTTGTTTTGAAATTCATTTTTGAAGGGTCAAGTAGCACTGAAGGACTGATGCTAAAGATCTTCATATTTATTTAAATTCTTCAGTACAAAAAGCGTTTTTATCATGCTTCGAAAGGATGAATTTAATTTGGAAGAGCTTGGGGTCTCATGGTTTAAATTTCAGCACCCAGGCCAAGAGTCTAGATTCTGTACTTATTCTCAACATTAGTTAGATGTTAGAATTATCTCAGGGAACTGTGAAAAACACCCATGACAGGGCTGCACCCACAGATTGATTTAATGGACCCAGAGTCTGCCACCAGCATAGTGCTTTTTAAAAGTCCTCCAGGTGAATAAATGTTTGCCTGCTATTCAGAAGCCATGGGAGCCTCTTGTTATGGAAAATGCCCTAGATTGATGTCACACTATCCTGAAGTGCAAGTTCCCAACTCCAAAACAAAGTCTTGGTTAAACTGATATGTACGTTTGAAAAATATTTATCCTAATTAGTAATACATGACAGTAGAATGTACTTTGACACATCATACATAAGTGGGATATAATTTCTCATTCTTTTGGTTGTACATGATGGAGACTCCCACTGGTAATGTAGTCATGTATGTACATAGGGTAATAATATGGACATTTTGGAATTTCAGTCTACACCTGCTAGTTTCTTTAAAACATAAAGAATATTAATCTGTGGTCCATAAATGGGCTTCCTGAGGCCTTTGATTCCATTCTAATTGCATGTGAGTTTTAAATATGTGATCATTCCAGAGGGTTCTTTATATTTTTAAAAGGAACTATAACCTCTAAGAGGTTAAGAATCACTGCCCCAAGAGGTTGTGGGTAGCAAGACAGTTAATGAAATTAAAGTACAAAACTCTCTATGATGGTGGGATATTTGACATGCCTATTGGGAAGCCAGCTCCAGGGGGCCCACACATGGTACCGTGAGGTGGCAGAAGAGGAACATGACAGTAACAGAAGAGAAGGGTGCTTTGTGTTATATGTAAACAATTTGGGTGGTTTTATGAGATTTGGGGGGTTTTGTTTGTTTGTTTTGTTTTCTGGAAGTGTGTCTGAGAGAACTGAAAAGATATGGAGACAAGGGTATTTGTGTCCTTTGCTTCCTCCATCTGATTCTGTTCAGCCTATTGAAGCAGGTGCCTGCCCATGGCCTCAAAGCACTTCCTGTTTCTCTGCCCACGGGCGTGACTCAATCTGCCAGCACCCACAACTCCATGCCTGTGTCCTCTGCTCCCTAGAGCCTGCTCTGTCCATACATAAAAGACCGGCCAGAAGTGTCAGAGAATTAACACTCCCACTTCATGCTCTATCACTCCCGAGGTGGGCTGATTCTGAGCACCTGTCCTCTGTCTCCCAGGGCTCTCTGGCAGGATCCAGCTCCAGTTTTCCACACTGATAACTTGCTTGATAACGCACCTTTGATTGGCTGCCTGTCTTCTTTTCTCTCTTTCCCACTCTGTTGGAGTCTTTTGGGGCCATCTCCCAAATAAACTATTGGTCCATCAGTCTTTGTTTCAGAGGCTGATTCTAAGGAAATCCAACTGAAGCAACATCCTTGATTTAATTGATTATTATTTTGCACTGGGGATTGATAGTAGAAGTGCATTGCTGAGCTACATCCCCAGAACTTCTTATTTTTCTAACTTTTTTTTTTTTTGAGATAGGGTCTTGCTAAGTGGCTTAGGCTAGCTTCAAACTTGTGATCCTTCTTCCTCAGCCTCCTGTGTAGATGGGATTACAGCTGTACACCACCAAACATGAATATTTTATTATTTTTTAACCTTAACCCTCCACTTATTTTTCTGATTAGGGTAAAGTGCTTATTTTTGTGAAAAGACCACTATACTCTTAATGATGTTCACATGCATGAATGTGGTTATGGAAATCATAGGTAGTATACATGGGAATAAGACCAACTGTCTGAACTGAAGGGTTTTTAGTCTAGAGGGCTGGGGTTTGGGTGGAAACAGGACACAAAAGTAAACACACAGCTGAGAAAGAAGACAGACAGTTATGCATTGAAATATTTGTTGGAGAAGTCCTGGTGCAAGAGAGACCCCTGGGGAATGGACCAGTTCCACTTGGCTGCCTGTAGGAAGCAGCATTTCAGCCAAGGGTCTCACTTAAGGCAAGACAGACAGAAAATACGGTGTCTTGCTTGTCATCTGTGGGATATAAATGAGTTTGGGAAATGACTAGACACTTGGAAGTAAAGATGGACAGATAAGGGTATTGATTAGTGGGTACAGAACAGATGTCTATATGTGGGACAGTTCCATGAAAATAATAACCTAAGGGGACACACTATTTCCAGACTTAAATGAAAGTAAATAAAGTCACAGTAGAGTTCAGATTCCAATAATTAGGACCATTCCCTTCTTGATTCCCTTGTTGAACCCACAAAACATAATCCCATGTATTGAGTCGGAACAGCTACTAAACAGACAGACATGCTGAACAGTCCAGCTCTTGGGAGCTCTATCTAGGGAACCTCTCATCTGGGAGAGCCAATTCCAGCCCCAGTGTGACCCCTTGTACTTTATCAGAGACCCAAAGGGTGCAAGGCCTGAAGTGGAGGAGAACCCTCATCTGCAACACCACCCAGGCCGGACTCCAGCTCTACTGAGGAAGTTGGAGGAGCTCTGCACATCTCTGCAGACTGAGGATTCCAAGTTTGCAGCATTATTCTAAGGCCAAGTTGGATGGGGTGGGCCAATTTGGTTGTCAACATGTGAAAAGGTGCTGACTGCCATCTAGTGGATGTTGGGTTGTATGACTCCAGGCCCCCCATGCTCCAAAGCTGAAGTAGAAAAACACAACCATTGCTAATTTCATCTCTTTCTGTGTCTCTCTAGCTTGAACCAGGAAGACCGTTGCCATCCCCCAATGACCTCAAAAGAAAAATACTCATCAAAAATAAGCGACTAAAACCTGAAGTTGAAAAGAGTAAGTCAAATACACGCACAAATAGAAGCATGTGTTTGGATAGTACAGCTGTCTAACATGAAATTCATTGTAAAACCATCAAATTTGGGGGGAAGAGGTGTAATGATGATGTTAAGTATACTTTCTGTAGCAAAATTATCACAGTTCCATTTGATTTCAGTTTGTACATAGACTCATTCATACAGTAGAAAAAGTACATTCATACACGCACATGCCAGAATTTGCAAGTGTCCTGAGGAAAAAAAGTGAGAAGCAGAAGAAAAATTTTGTATTACGATGCATCTTGTTATGCTTTCTTTAAGAAAAGTTGTGCTTTCTCCACTGATGTACAAGACAAGACTATTTCCCAGTAGTATCCTTAATGCTGACTATTGGCCATTTTTTATATGCTCCCAACTATTTGAAGAAAAATACCTGAATAGTTCATTTGTATCTTTTGATAACTAGTTCCTTTGTACATTATAATTTGTGATTTGTCCATGCATATTTTCCCATTTTTTAAAAAAGTAATTTCATTTGTCTAGCTTACTTACTTACAAGAATTTTTTTTACTTAGGATAATAACCCCAGTTATATTAGTTGCAAATATCTTTTATCCTAAAGTTTTGTTCTCTCTACTGTGCATATCTCTTTTCTATCACTTCACCATCATTGTTTGTAAAACTTGGTCTGTGCCAGATTCTCAAAATTAATGGGTGTTTGTTTTCTGGGTTTAAATCCTGAATCCTCCTTTCAAATGCAGAAACCAGAATTTTGGACAGTTCACCATATTCTAGTGGCAGCCCTTCTTCATGTGTATACAGTGTGGTTGATGCACAATTCTTACAAAAAAATAAGACCAGCAGGAATGGGGAAGACAGTGACCACTGCTAAACCTTAGGGCATGGTCAAGAGGTGCCTAAACAACATATTTCTTTTCCTTCATCTCCATATCTGACATAAAGCCCAAGTTTTGTAAGTGATCTAACATCTGTCACCATCTCCTTGTTTCTTCATAATAACAGAACAGCTTGACGCTTTGAAAAGCATGATGGAAGCTGGGGAATCTGCAGCTCCAGCTAGCATCTTAGAGGATGACAATGAAGAGGAAATAGAAAGTGGTGAGTTGCTATTTCAAGTGATATATTACAATACTTTGTAACGTAGGTAAAACATGTGTTTCATTGGGTCCTTTATAGTGGTTACATTATAGTTTTAATACTCAGGTGTGTATTTACAGATCAGCCTTCATCTTTCATTATTTTTGATCCTTTTTTTTTTCCAAATATTATTACTTCTAACTTACCTGGGCATTGGAAACTGGCTTAGTCATCTCCCTCCCTGTGTGTGTCCAGCTGTTCAGCAGAAATTCACAGCCAGAGATAATGGTGGTAATAGCCTGGGAATGTAGAATGAAAGAACTTCAGGTAAATCATTGGCTTGTGTTTAGAAAGTGAACGAGAAACTAAGAGACAACATTTAAAATTTCAAGTTCAGGCTGGGGTGTCGCTCAGCAGTAGAGCACCTGCTTAGCTTGTGAGAGGCCCTGGGTTCTATACCCAGTACCAAAATAACATAAACAAACAAAATCCAAGTTTAAATGCCTTCAAATAATCCACTGCTCAGAATTATCTATATAAGTAGATAATTTTACCAAAGGCGTCTTAGCCACAAATATTTGATTATTCTTAATTGTTTATTTTGTTTTTGCCATATATCCACAACCATAATGTTTCGTTTAAAATTGGGATTGGCAGTACAAGGTGGCTTACACTTATAATTTCAGTTACTCAGGAGGCTAAGGGAGGAGGTTTGCAAGTTCAAGGCCAGACTCAGCAAATTTGTGAAACTAAATAATTTAGAAATACAATAATTCAGAAATTCCCATTGAAAAGTTTACTAAATAGAAACTAAAATTCCTAAAGGGAAAGTCTTCACTTATTATCTTAACACTTAAAATATGATTTTAGGAAAGTTGGTAAAAAAAAAATGTTAAAAACAGTAAGCTGTGAGAATTAACTTATCTTATTCATGACCCCTTAATAAAGACTCCTGACTGTAGAACCAATGTCATACTTCCGTTATGTTTATGTTGTGGCAGGGAGGATTTGGGAGGCCAAAGATATCTGATTATCCAATTTATGCCTTCAGTAGCTATTTATCTATTACTGTGTAATAATCCACCCCAGACTTGGAGGCTTAAAACAACACTTTATAATTATCTCTTATGGTTTTGTGGGTCACCTGGGCTTGTGTTGCTGGTTCTCCCTTGGGCTTCTCATGCAGTTACTGGCAGATGACATATGGGGCTGGCATCATCTGAAAGTTTGGTTGCACTGGTTATCCAAGGTGACTCTCTCACATGGCTGGCAGCAAATGCTGGCTCTCAGCTGGGAACATAACTGGATTCAGTGAGAAGAGCACACACTCGGGACCTCTGGGATTTGGGCTTCTCACAGCACAGTGGCTAAGTGCCTATTTAGAGTATACAAGAGCCTGTATCCCGAGCGGTAAGAAGTAGGAGCTGCTGAATTCTTTAACAGTTATGCTTAGAATCGGTGCAGCCTCACTTCCTCTCCGTGCTATTATTCATCAAAGAAGTCTTAGCACTGCCCAAATTCAAGAAGGCAGGTGAGTAACAAGTTCTCATTTTGGAAGAACACATTAAGGGTAGCTCGCTCTTGATGTAGCTGTTTTGGGAAAATACAGTAGTCAATTGTATTATATTCTGTTATATCATATATCTATTATATTATTTTGCATATAAAAATATGTAATATATATAAATATATAATATATAGTATAATATAAAATTTCTAAATAAAATATAATAAATAAATAAACCTAAACTACATTTAAGGACAAAGTATCATAAATATATGTATATATTTTAACAGATCAGCAAAATACTGCTAAAATGCAAAAAAAAAAAAAAAGGTAAATATTAAGCAAAATCATGATTTAGGTTAAAATTTTAAAGATGGGAACTGAAGACATGTAAGACATTGCCAATACTGTAATCTAGTAAAACAAACTGCAGAAATAATGGAATAAATGAAGAAGAAATATAGATTAATAATAATAGCTACTAGCATTGTAATACCAACTGGGCACCAGGCAGCCTTCATTACTGCTTTATATAACCTTCGTCATCCAGCCCAATGAAATAAGTATGATGCTCCTTTTTTTTTTTTTTTTTTTTTTGGTACCACGGATTGAACCCAGGGGCAATTACCCACTGAGCCACATCTCCAGCCCTTTTTTGCATTTTATTTAGAGACAGGCCCTCACCAAGTTGCTGAGGCTGGCTTTGAACTCACGATCCTCCTGCCTCAACCTCCTGAGCTGCTAGGATTATAGGCATGCTCCACCATGCCTGGCCACTTACCATTCTGAAAGACACTTTCTTCCTTCTTGGCACATATGCTAATGATTCTTCAAGGCACACAGCTTCTAGTAACTACCATCTTATTCCAAAATTGAGATTCTAATTTTATTTTGTATATAAATAACCCCATGGCATAGTACAGCAGTAAAATAAATACCTGAAAAGATATAATAATCCACTGAATTTCCTTTTAGGGGCACAGAGGCCCCTTCTGACCTAGTGATGTATACAATTCTTAGATTTCCTCAACTACTTGGCCTCAGTTCTGGTCAACCAGTTGGCTGCAATTGCCTTGGCGTCAACAAAGATCCAACTATATATAGGTTACTAGAGCCTCTAATTTAGATACGTTGGCATAGAGGGCAGAAGGAAATCAGCATGGTTCAAGAGGGCAGTCCTGCCTAGAGGTTGTGGAAAATAGAAAAGACTCTTAGTGAAAGAACTGCCTAACCATTAGACTAAGTTTAGACTCAGAAGAGCCTCTGACTCCTGGCCCTAGGAGACAAGCAGTGGGGAATACCAAAATCACATATGTTGTGGTGTGTTTGTGCGCTCATGCACCTTCAGAAATGATACTGTGCATTTGTGCACTCCTTAAAAGTAGTAATTATTAAATGTCTACCACTTGTATGGGACTCACTCCTTGTCTTCAGGTAGTTATATCTGGCTGGGCTGGTTAGATGAAACACACAGATTGAGTATTCTTTATACAAAGCACTTGAGAATTGAAGTGTTTCAGTTTGGGGAGTTTTTTCAGATTTTGAAATATTCACATAGACTTTTTTACCAGCTGAATACCCCTAATTAAAATAAAATGAAGATTCAAATTGCTTTGAAATCTGAAAAAAAAGTGTCATCATCATGATGCTCAAAAAGTTTTGGATTTTTCAGCGTGTCAGATTTCAGATTTTCAGTTCACAATTTGCAGAGTATATAGGTCATGAAAATCTTTTGTCATGTTCTTCCCAAGATTTCAGGCAAGGTCTGACTGCTTTCCAGTAATTTGGGTTCATGAATTTTTCTTTTGTTTTTCACACAGCTGACCAAGAGGAGGAAGCTCACCCTGAGTTCAAATTTGGAAGTGAACTTTCTGCTGATGACTTGGGTCATAAGGAAGCTGTTGCAAATAGTGTCAAGAAGGTCAGAGTCTTCATGGCCCTTTTCTTTCACAATGTGGAGCTGTTATGAAGTTTTGGAAATGTTTCAACTACAAGAGGATAAAGTAGCCTATCATTCCTTTTAATTGCACAAGATAGAATTTTCTGCTGGGTGACCCAGATTTCACACACACACAATATTAAGTTAAAAAGGACATTTAAATTACTTATTAGCCATGCCCAGTACTAACCACAATTTATTTCGCCAGTTTCCTTTAAACACTATCATTTATTATGTCATTTAAATATTTTTGTTTTTTGTAATATTGTAGGTGGGTAGAGAGACACCCACAGCGTCCCAGGGACAATGGTCACCTGTTAGAATCATCAGAAAATAACCCTTGAATATTCTTCCATCAGAGAACCACTAATTAATATTCCCCTCCTAATGTAGAGTAAGCATAAAAATATTTCCAACCACTTATTCAATAAAAAAATTTATTAAGTACCAATTATATTTTAGACACAGTCTAGGCTATCACTATCTAAAAGGGTCAAAACACATTTACTTTCTACCCTTTGGTAGCTTGTGGTCTCCTACAGTTTAGAGACATAGATGCAAATAGACTGTGAACAGATAAATAATTATGCAGTTCGATTTTTCATAAGTGCTACTGTGAAAATAAAAACAAGTGCTAACTTGGAGACTAATGAGAATAACAAGGTGGTAGGAATAAGAAACCCGGAACCCAAAGGAGAAGGAGGAATTTATCATACACAGAAAGAAGAATAACTTTCCACATAGAGGGAACACTACAATAGCAAGCACAAAGATGGATTGAAGGAGCAGCAGAGTGGAGCAAGATGAGATGAGGTGGATAGCCATCGACTAGATGATGCAGGACTTCAGAGGCTACCATGAGAAATTCAAATTCAAAGTGAAATATGAAGCCATTGAAAAAGCAGGAGGCATTGTAGCCAGATATGAGTTTTAGAAGATCGTGCTTCTCACCATATTGAGACTAGTTTAGAAGGAAACAAGAGTGGAAGCAAGAAAAATAGTCAGGACAGAAAGAGCCCCTAATGGTGAAACTGGACAGTAGAAAGAGGACAGAATGGTTTCAAGATGTATTAAGGAACCAAAACGATACAAATCACTGATGGATTGAGTGTTGTGAGTGAGGGAGAGAGAAGAAGGTGACCTTCTGGAGTACTTTTCTGAGGAACAAGGTAGACTGGAGGAGGGAAGACTGGAAAAGAATGAATTCAGGAGTTCCCAGTGGGATGGGTGATCTCAGATGCCTGTGAGATAGATACTCAAGGAAAGGTGTCAGGCATTGACATTTATCTCTCAGGTTCATTTCCCAACTGTCTCTCCTTGGGTAAGTTACTTAACCTCTCTGTGTCTTCATTTCCTCATCTGCAAAGGGAAGATCATAATCCTTTTGTTGTTGTTGTTGGATTATTATGAAGAAGGGCCTGGCACATGGTAGCACCTATGAAAGTGTAGTTGCTGCTACCCTCTTATTTTCATCTTTGTTCTCATTATCATCATCACTAGCATCATCATAAGCTAAATCCAGAAGAGAGGTTGAGCTGGGAGTTCAACAGGTCATATTTGATCCATGGAAATAACTGAGATGATCCATGGGGTGAGTGGAAAAGAAGGCCCAAGTAGAACACTAGTTTAAAAAGGGTTCACAAGAGAGGAGCTAGGAAAGAACAAGATAGGGCCCATGAAAACTAGGAGAGCACTGTTAACCTAGTGGTTAACTGTGGAATTCTGTAGAGTTTCTGAGTAACAAGTCTCAAGAGTGTCCATTGGATTGGTAGCATGGAGGTCACTGGTGAAGTGTCAATGGAGTGCTGGCGGGGAAGGGTACTGGAACATAGAAGGGATAGCAGCTGTGCTTTTGAGAAGTTTTGCTGTGAATGGGAGCAGGAAATGGGCTGGTAGCTAAAGGTAACCTAAGGAGTCAAGGGAGTGTTATTTGTAGGGTGAAGAAATCTGGAGCTTTCTTGCACGCAGCCAAGGATGGTACATCAGAGAGGGAGAGATTAATCTTCCAGGAGAATAAGGGAGAATGCCTGGGAATTCCTTGAGAAGACAAGCACTGACAGGATGATGGTGATATGAAAGTGTGATCTTGATGGGAGCAAAGATATTTTCTCTGTGGCTACAATGGACAAAGATGTAGGTGGATGGATTTGGTGGCAGGAAGAGGAGACTGTAATGATGAACAAAGTCAAAGAAGCATTGCCATTGGACTCTCCCTTTTCTGATCTATGAAGTACATTGAGAATGCTGTATATCTACTAAGGCTCAAAGAGTATTATTGTACCACATGAAGTCATCAATGCTCTCTTAGTCAGTTTGTGCTGTCATAACCAAAGCATCAAAGACTGGATGACTTAAACAACAGAAATTTATTTATTTCTCAAAGTTTTGGAGACTACAAAGTTCAAGATTCAAGTGTGTTGGCCAGTCAGTTCTTGGTGAGAGCCCAGTTTATGTCTACACATAGTGAGACAGAATGAGAAAGCAAGCTCTCTCTCATCTCTTCTTCTAAGGGCACTAATCTAATCATGAGGCTCCCTGCTTATGATCAGAATACCTCCCAGAGTCTCCATCTCCAAATACAGGCGCTCCTTGACTTACAAAGTGATTTTGATAAACTCATTGTGAGGTTAAAATCTCATAGGCTGAAAATGCATTTAATACACCTCACCTATGGAACATCATAGCTTAGCAGCATGGTACACTGTATATTGCTGGTGGTTTACCCCTGGGATCATGTGACTGAGAGGGAGCTCTGGTTTACTGCTGCCACCCAGCTTCCCAGAAGAGCATCATACCAAGAATTCAATCAAAACTGAAGCACATTTTTGCACCATCATACAGTCAAAAAATCACTTTTGCGCCGTCATACACTCAAAAAATCCTGAGTTGAACCATCAGTAAGTTGGGGACCGTCTATACTATCACATTGGGAATTATGGTTCCACCACATAATGTTAGAGATGTTAGAGACACAAACATTGAATCTATAGCAAATACAGAGACATGAATGCTGAGCTACTGAAGAGTGACCACTCATGCTGCCATTTATATGTCAGAGGACGTAGCCACATTGATTATTTTCATTTCCCAAGCCCCATGACTAAGTCACTAATGAACTTATTACAATAAAGCATCTAAATGAGTGAAAACCATCAACAAAGGAAGGAGATAGCGTTAAGAATACAGCTCTTTTGAAATATAAAACCATGAGGTCATCACATCTGCGCAATACCTTTTTTTCTTTCTTTTGGTCCATGGCTTTCCACTAATTTCCCATCTTAACAAATACATAGAATCATAAGTTCGTATATATTTATTTAAATATTTACACAAATATAACTAATAAATTTGTAATTTTGCCCTTTAGGGAAGTAAACAAATCATTTTCTTTCTCTAATTTAGACTTCAGATGACCTTGAACATGAAAACAACAAAAAGGTAACAAAATAATTCTCTTGAGCATTTTGCCTTCATTAGGAGACACGCACATGTGGCCCTCTAATATTAAACATTTTCTACTAAGGACTGTTGTTGTTACTCTGTCCACTGTCCCCCCATCCGTGGAATACCAAGCTGAGCATCTATAGGTATAATGCATCTAATATAAGAATTTTCAAAGGAAATAATTAATTACAATAATAAAATGATTAAAATTCTGATAAAAATCACTAAACTAGGTAAGATAATTATCCTAAAAAATAGGCGTTTAATGCAATAAGATATTTCCTTATTTGGAATTAGAAATTTCAGTCCTTGAAGGGGGTGCATAATCATCAGCATGTTGAATATGAAAATAGAAATGATCTAATAGGTCATCAGATTCATATTGTAGAACAGTAGAAAAGTGATCTGAGCTCTCACAGCATCCATGTCATGGAAGATCCTTAGGTAGTTTCCACTGCACACCTTCTGGAGGTTTCTTTTGATGTTAGTAGACATTAGCTTATTGTAAGGAAGGTAAAGTAACATTGTCATTTTCTTTTATCCTCTTCAAAGTTCATCATGATGTTTTAAGTGTCTTGTTAAGTGTGTTTGGTCTATTATACAGTAGTAAGACTGAAGACGATCTCAGGCAGAAATTTGCCTTCTATGTTGACTCTGACCTTTGGGAGCTGCAGACTGCTTTGCTATCTACAGGGTCCTATCTTATTTACAGTGAGACCCTGCCTTCTCATTGTTTAAACAATTAATTTGAAAGAAGTATGGGTAAATCAAATCACAAATCTCCCAAAATGATTATGGGACAGAGTAAAATTTTATAAGGCAGTGGAGTCAACGGTACAGAGTGGCTGTTTGGTAATTAACATTAATTTGCTAAATTAACTTAATCCACAAGGCCTTGGTCTTCTCATGTGGTCACTCGTAGGACTATAATCCTCCTGACAAATAACAATATTAATGAGGATGTGCATGCTGGTGCCTAGCACATAGCACAGGAATTGTTTGTAATCATTAAACACACAAGAAGAAATAGATGTGGGCCTCTGCCCTTTTATGGAGGTTTAGGGACTGCAAATAAAAAAATCTATAAAAACAAAATTAAGTTGCATTATTTGATTATTTATCTTAGTCTATTATCAGTGAAATCAGTTTGATGATTTAGAATGTTCAGATTGTTGTCATCAATAAGATAAGCAAATAGTCTGACTGGTTTTTCACTCATGGGTTACATCGTGTGATTAAGCATCCTCCTGGATTCAATCTGTGCAGAAAGTTGAGCTTTTCAAAGTTGTTAACAAAATGTTGACCACTTAAACGTACTTTCTGTTGTTGTTGTTTTTAATTTTTTTATTTAAGAGACCTGGCCTCACTATGTTTCCCAGGCTGGCCTTGGACTCCTAGACTCAAGTGATCCTCCTACCTCAGCCTCCTGAGTAGTGGGGCAACAGGCATTATTTCTGTTGGTTTTGATAGTTATGTTCAGATTTCTCAAGGAATAAATAAAATAATTTGCTTTCTTCCCCTCCAAAGTCATATAATTTCAATGTGTCCTGTGTCACTTTATTAGGGTATTTTAAAAATACATCCTTTAAAAATAAATAAGCCACCATGTATGTGGCTGAAATTGTAGAACAGTGCTACTATACAGTGTGGTCCTCAGACCTTCCCCTTGCCAGCACCTTATTTTAAAATTTTTAATAATTTGAAATTATAAAATCGTAAACCCCTGTGCCTCACCCAGACTCACTACAGCAGAAATTCCAAGGATGGAGGTCAGGAATCTGTTTCAACAAGTGCTCCAGGTGATTCTGAAACACACTAAAATTTAAGATTCACTGTTTTTGACTTTGTACCTCAGCTTAGGAAAATATGAATGATAATATTGCTGTACATACCTCACAGCATTTCTGTAAGACTCCAGTATCTTTTCTTGGATGTTTTAAAGTCCCTTGAAAATCTAATAACAACCCAAACACATAAAATAACTTAATATTTTCTGATTATCTCCTTTTGCATCATCTGGACTATCATAGAGATTAAGTTTTAAAATCATCTTTTAACATAATTGAGGTACAAACATTCTTTTGCTTCTGAATTTGTGTGTAAATTAGCTTTTTAATGTCTTTTTAAAAACTGTTTATCAATGCATTATAATTACAGATTATACTGGGATTCGTTGCTGCATATGCCTACATTCACACAATATAATTTAATTTGATCAATTTCATTCCCCAGGACCTCCCCTTTTCCTTGCAAGTTATCTTTAGTAAGGAAATTTGCAGCCTGTATCTGGGAGTCCCTCTGAAGCCATCAGCTAATCTGTTTTCTTCATTGTGTTTGCAGGGCCTGGTTACTGTAGAGGATGAGCAGGCATGGATGGCATCTTATAAATATGTAGGTGCTACCACTAATATCCATCCCTATTTGTCAACCATGATCAATTATGCACAGCCAGTGAAGTTTCAAGGTTTCCATGTGGCTGAAGGTAACATCAAAGCCTTTTTTATCTGTTTATCTTTATTTTTTTAATATCAATGAGTTCCAACCTAACTTGTGCTGTTTTCCTCTTTTGGGGTGGGCATCTCTCTTACTTTTGTTTCACAGGCTGGATAGCCACAATCCTAGGCATGCCTTGGGGTTGCATTGCCATTCTCTACATCAGCCACATGGTGGCTCTGAGAGACTATGGACTTGTTAGCCTCTAGTATTCCGTATGCTTTCACAAGACAGCTTTATTTATTTTTTCTTTAAAATAAATAAATAAAACATGGTTTATCTTTGATTGACAGAAAATATTTGTACATATTTATGAGATACCATGTAAATTTTTTATTTATATGCACTTAGGGTAGTGGTTACCAGTGTTTAGAGAGAATAGATGTGGGGGAGCCGAGGGAGGTTTATCAATGGGCTAAAATATTATAAGTTCTAGTGTTCTTTGGCACAAGACATGTTTAGTCAAAAGTTGGTTTCCAAAAGCATAAGAACGAATTTAAAATTTTTATTATCTTTTGTGGGCAGCAGAAGGCATCATGACCTTCAAAAATACATATTTCAGCAATTGGGGTACACATACTTTGTTTAGTGACTCCAAATAGATTTCAGGACACTTATTTTTCTTAAGTAAGCTATCTCCATTCATAGGATATTAATGAATCTAAAAGCAATTGACATGATCATGGCCACTAAAGCCTGGGGACTCTGGATGTAGCTATATTTATTGCCTGTCTTTCTGGGAGGGTTTGATGGCAGGGTTGCTGAGTGCATCTTTGCTTTTCTCTTACAGAACGCAACATTCATTATAACATGTCTTCTTTTAATGAATCAGTTGGCCTTGGCTACTTGAAGACACACGCGATTGAATTCGTGAAGTATCCTTGGGTGTTGAGTGGAATGGGCAGTTGCACATTTGGTTGGGCAACAGTCTCTGAAATAAATCAATGGCTAATATATAATTTTGATTGTAGAGGTAATAAAATAATATGTGTGAAAGAGCATGGCAGCTGTGACAATCTGCCCAATGAAAATTGTCCTCCAAGTCTGCAGAGTGAACTGTGGTCTCTTTCTCTCCCAAGCATCACTGGTAAATGGGAACTTTGTTCTGGGTTGCCTGTAGGTTGGTCATTATTGCCCTGCACCTCTGTTGTTCCAGCTCTATGTTGTTTATTTACCTCAGCTGTGGTACTCTTTTTTTTTTCTGTTTTCCTTAATAAGTTACACAGTTACAACAAACGGCAAATGAGTCGCATTTACCCCAAGGGAGGCAGAGTCGATTCCAGTAATTACATGCCTCAGATATTCTGGAACGCTGGATGCCAGATGGTTTCACTGAACTATCAAACCCCAGGTAGGAGCTGATACCCAGTGACCCCCAAATTCCACGAGAACACTTTGACAGGGTGGTGTTGGGAGTTGCCATCGGTTAGCTGTGGGCATGTTTTCAGGGAAGCGAACATATGGCAAAACAGTGTTTTCCTGGATTTATATAATGGTGAGAAATTCAAATCCCCAAATAGAACAAGAAGACAGTGAAAGACAATGTTTTGATTTATACTGAAATTATTTTCATAATTGCCATGACTACTCTGCTATATAGTATCCTCTATTCCTAAATATTTCTAATATTTCTTACTTTTGGATCAGACTTGTTATCTTTGTTTCCAGAGGCAGAAGAATTGAGTGAGAAGAATTTAAGTATTTTGGTACAGTAACTAAATCTCATTTATCCTTTGGAAAGTTCCCTGGGCTACCGCAAATATTCAACAAATTTCAAGAATTACACAGTGTCACCTCACCATAAAAGTACAGAATATTACATAGTAAAACTCCCCTTAAATGATATGTAAGGAGTTATATATTTTTAGAAGATCTAATCTATAAATTGATCTTCCAAAGTATAATCAAATATGGGCTACATGTGTATAATATGCTGATCCTTTTTTCCTGGGATTAGAAGGATTACTTTTTTAAAAAAGTTTTCAAAGTTTGTGTAAAGAGCCTAGGATCACAACATTAAGATGAGAGATAACAAAAGAGAATACATAGAAATATGTCACAAAACCCACTTAACTTTATGTGGGTAATTCTTAGCATGGCTTTACAATTGTTAAAACAAAACACATATGTAAAATAGGGAATAGTAATTCCACTGAAATGCTGAAATGTTAAACAAAAATATGAAGTTGGAATTGGAAGGGAGTACTGGAGATAGAACCGAGGGGGCGCTGTACCACTGAGCTATAATCCCAGAGCATTTTATTTTTTATTTTGAGACAAGGTCTCTCTCAGAATGGTCTCCAAGTTGCAATCCTCCCACCTCAGACTCTTGAGTTGCTAGGATTAAGGTATGCACCACTGTGTGCAACTGAAGTTAGAATTCTACAAAGATTTAAAAATACGTTTTTTTCTTCTTCTTCAGTCATTTGCTATAGGAGGATACCTTCCAAGTTTCCCATTTTGGGGAGCTTTTTCTTATCTAGTGTACTGACCCTATTTGAGAATCCCTGTCTTCCTCATTCATTATTATCTGGACTAACTAGAAGGTCCTTTGACTTTCATCCCTCTGGCTTGAGCCTGAGCTGACTGACTATATTTCCCTCCTCTTGGGGGAGCCTCCTTCATGACCAAAAATTCCCCCTAAGGGATTCCTCATTGTGCATGTGACCCCACAGTCCTTGCTAGATGAGACTGTTACCAGGTACCAGTGTAATCCTGAGTGTTTTTGTCAGGACAAAGCAAAATGACACTGCTGATTTACCTACTTAAGGAAGGGTCAGGTTATGTTCTGCATTGTCAGTGAGTCCATAATAAGGATTACATGGTCCTAAAGCATTTACTCACTAGGCCAGCTTGTATTTTATTCTTTAATATTAGGTTGTATGACAATATTTGGAAGAAGAAAAATCCAACCACTAACCATTTTTTTTTCCTCATGAGAAAAAAAGAAAGCAAACGTTATCTACCTGCAAAAGAAAAATCCTGAGCCTTGCCCTGACAGAGTAGGCCCCACTAGAAGAATATTCCTTAAGTCTAATGCTGTGAGAAAGCCATCAATTTCATGTTATTCTTACTTGGCTTGTGTTGTATCTTAACTCAAGTTTTAGATATTTTTGTTTTGTTTTGTTGTTGTTTGGATTGAATCTGTGGGGTGCTTAACCACTGAGCCACATCCCCATCCCTTTTTATTTTGTATTTTAAGAGACAAGGTCTCGCTAAGTTGTTGAGGCTGGCTTTGAACTTGTGATCCTTCTGCCTCAACCTCCCCAGCCTAGGATTACAGGCACATGTCACCATGCATAGTTTTGTATTCAAGTTTTGTATTCATGCTGACCTTACTGGGTATCTCCAGCCTTGCCTTCCTCTGGGTGATAAGACTCATAGGTACTTCTAATGACAGCAGGTTAAATATCTCTAGTCTCAATATTATGTATTGATTCCATTTCTAAAAGGAATTCTGGGATTATCTTTATGAAAAACATACTTTATGCTTAATTCACATTAAACACAAGGTCATTTGAAAAACATGGAAAAGAATTATGTGCCTTAATCAGAACCTGTGTTACCTCTGGAACAGTCTGATTTCCATTGTTTAAAATCATCCTGTTAGGGTCTTGTTTATCCAGGGAGATGAGATGCTAAATTATTTTTGTCTCTCGACAGATTTAGCCATGCAATTGAATCAGGGGAAATTTGAGTATAATGGATCGTGCGGGTGAGTAATGTGATTTAAGATGTTGTCACCTAGTTTCAGGACTCCCTACTACCACTTTAATGAATCCATGTCATTTTTAATTAGGGGCTGGTGAATGTAAGCTGATTTGAGGTATGGGATAGAAGTAAATGAAACCCCTAGATGGATTATATTTGCAAATATACATTCTTCATCTACCCCATTTTACTATGCAGGATTTTTTTATCTACAAGTTTTCAGAATCATATATACTCCAGAGCTTAATTACCTCACTATAAATTCAATAACAGAGGTTTTTTATATCTGAGGCAAGTAATGACCCATGCTCATTTGAACAATAACCAGAGACATGAGCATTAAATATGTGTACTTTTACTGATGACAAATACAGAAATGAAGTTAATTCCATGTATAATGAAATCATAGGTGTCAGGTTGAATTTATTTCAATTGAGGATAAACCTTTGTCCTCTCTTGATTCTTTTGCATGTCTTGTAAGTAGTGGTTATTAAATATTAGTGCTATGAATTTTGTTCCAGTTTACTTAAAAAGCAGTCTTTTAAAAATCTGTGAGCCAGGAAATAAAATAGAAAATAGTAATTCCACTGAAATGCTGAAATGTTAAACAAAAATATGAAATTAGAATTTTTAGAGGAGTACTGGGGATGGGACCCAGGGGTGCTGTACCATTGATCTATAGTCCCAGACCATTTTATTTTTTTTGTTTTGAAACAAGGTCTCACTTAGACTGGTCTCAAGTTGCAGTCCTCCTACTTCAGACTTCTGAGTTGCTAGAATTGAGGCATGCGCCATTGTGTGCAGCTGAAGTTAGAATTCTACAAAGATTTAAAAGCTTTGTGGCCATTTTTTCCTTGCATCTGTCCTTGAACATTACTATAAATAAATAATATCAGATCACAGCCCAAAGGCCTCAGGGTTAATTCTGTGGAGTCCTGTCCCACTCCATAATGAGACTGTCAGACAATTAGTTTTTGACAGTGGCTCACCCTGTGAAATATCTTAATTTTCATTATTGAAAATAACCAGTCAAGATGCAAATTTTCAGCAGTGGTTGGGTAGGAAATGGCTCTTCAGAGTACACATGCCATACCTCTGCCTACCTGACAGATGGTTCTTTGCCAGTATGCCCACGTGCTCAAATGATAGCCCTGTCATCTGAAACAGTCACCACATACATTCCCAAGGGTGCATTACATTTTCCTCTGCTGTGTGCTTTAAAAAACATGAAAACTATAGTTAGGAAGAAAAGAGCCAAATGCATATTAACACATGGACATCGTAAGACTCTGGCTTAAACTGGATTCTATAAGGATGGAGAAGGAGACTCAGATTGGCCAAGTCAGAAAGGACTCATTTTCTTTGAACACAGCATGTCCTCTGTGGCAGGTGTTATTTTCTGATGTTCTTCATCATTATCTAAAAGGGCAAAAGCATCCTCCTCCATCCTCAGGACCCTCTACCTAAAAACCTACATCTTAAATTATAGATGAGGAAATAGAAGGATTCAGTGTTTCAAAAGCCATTTTAAAATTTTTTTGTCTTTCTAAAGTCTATGAGTACAATAAGCTTCCTCTGTGTTTTCTACCAGGTACCTGCTCAAACCAGATTTCATGAGGCGGCCTGACAGAACATTTGATCCCTTCTCTGAAACCCCTGTGGATGGGGTTATTGCAGCCACATGCTCGGTGCAGGTAACACCCCTGATCATCAGATTATGTAAATGTATATGCAAATGGTCCTGGACAGAAAGCACTGGTAAAATATTTAATGTCAAGTTGCCAGATCCTTATGTCACTTATGTCAAAATCCGCTCCCCTCCTTGTGTCTTTTCCATAGAAGACACATTTTTTTTTAACTAGTAAAATTATGAACTACTTTGGGTAAAATAAACTATCAAAAAATAACTACAACATGATGAAATTTTCTATAAAATTCTAGAAAATGTAAGCTATGGTGATAGAAAGTAAATCATTGATTGCCTCTGGACACAGTGGAAGGAGAGAAAGATTATAACAGAGCTCTAAAATACTTGGAGGTGATGGAAGTGCTTGATACCTTAATCTCAATGTTAGTTTCACAGATATGCTTACTTGTCAAAACTGATATGATCATACAATTTCAATATGTGCAATTTATGATAGTCCAGTTGTACCTCAAAAAAAACCTTTCAAAAGTATTAGCTACTAAATAATATGGAGGGGAAACTAATAAAGGGCTATAGTCATTTGCTAAGTAAATGAAAAAAAAAAGTTATGGAGTGACTGAAAAAACAGTCACTCCATAACTTTTTTTAGTAGTTATAATTTTGCACTGGTCATAGACAACCAATGTCAACATCAGTCAAGAGGTTGAGAAAAATAGGCCAATCCTGGTATTGTTTTCCTTTCATTTCTATGTGTGTCTCTGTCTCTCCCTCTCCCTCTCCCTCTCTCCCTCTCTCTTTCCCTCTCCCTTTCTCTCTTCCTCTTCCTCTCCCTTTCTCTCTTTTCTGGGGCATACCAGGGATTGAACCCAGGGGTGCATAATCACTGAGCCATATACCTAGTCCTCTTTTTAATTTTATTTTGAGAAAAGGTCTAAATTGCTGAGGGCCTTGCTTAATTACTGAGGTTGGCTTCCAATTTGTGATCCTTCTGCCTCAGCTTCCCAAGTCACTAGGATTACAGATGCGTACCACCATGCCCAGCTTATGTCTCTCTTCAAGACTTTTGAAAGAATTCAGTAATGGCATGATAGAATTTCAGAGCTGTGAAGAGATCTTAGGGCATGCCTGAATCCATCACTTCTTGATTCTTAGGCATGGATACTAAGTGAGACAAAGGTGCTCTGGAAACTAATTATTTGTATTATATGATCCATGTATACTTTCTTCATTCTTTTTCTAGGCAGTTTTAGAAGTCATGACCTTTGCCAATAACTGTTTTTTTTTTTTATTTTTGTATTTGGTATTTGGTCAATAATGTTTTGATTTACTGAAGAACGTATACGTGTCCATTGTTCATTGAAATTCCCCCCTAAAAACACAATTTTTTATTTCCTGGAGATTCTTTGCTACTGATATTTGCACTGAGTTCACTTCTTTCTCTTTCATGTCTGTGTTGCTGAAGGTCATATCAGGGCAGTTCTTATCAGATAAGAAGATTGGCACATACGTTGAAGTGGACATGTATGGGCTGCCCACCGACACCATACGAAAGGAATTCCGAACTCGTATGGTTATGAACAACGGGCTCAATCCAGTTTACAATGAAGAATCATTTGTGTTTCGGAAGGTAGGACATTGTCAATGTGTCAAAGCCACACTGATAACACAGGAGCCACATCTCAGTGCACAGAACCTACTTGATAGAGGGACATCTTGTTTTAACACGCCATCTTGTTTTCATCCTTTCTTCCAATGAGTAACTTCTATGGTAACTTCTGTATCTATGTCCAGTGATTATTATTGTTTTTGTTTGGTCTGTTCCAAATTGCCTTTCCTCCTTAGAGGTGGCCACCTCCTATGTGGCAATGCTCAAGCTCGAGGTTTACAATCTGCTGAGAATGTGAATTAACTTGTGGACACCATGGTGCTTTGAGAAGTTCTTCCCTCCCCTGAAGTAGGTGGTGACTCACACTGTTCATTTAGCTGAGAGGTCAGGTTAAGATGCTACACTCAAAACTGAGACCAATAAATGCCATTACATGGGTCACTTTATATAATCATGTCCCTTCAGAAAGTGTGGAACCTGTCACTACTCAGATTTTATGCTTCATATGTGAGTTTTCAGTGTTTTGCTTTTTTCTCTCGGTCCTGTATGCTGGATCATAAGAACAATCACAGCCTTCCTTCTGATATTCAGAATTTTTTTAATATTTATTTTTTAGTTGTAGTTGGACACAATACTTTTATTGTATTTATCTTTATGTGGTGCTGAGGATCAAAACCAGGACCCTGCATATAATAGGTGAGCTCTCTACTGCTAAGCCATAAACCCAGCCCTAATGTTCAGATTTTAATCTCTTAATCATTCTCCCCTTTTGATTTCCTTGTCAACTGAAGATGCTTTGAAAAAAACAAAACAAAACAAAACACATGCATTGGAAGTACTGCCAAAAAGGTCTGTTTTTCTCTCTCTTACTTGTTCTGATACTCTGACCAAAATGATTTCTCAATTCTTTCAGCATAGGCTTTCCAGGTGGTTCTGCTCCATGTATATGTCACGGAACACAGACAAGCAGCTGCTTGTCTTGAAAGGTTAGGGATTATCCATTTTAGAGTACAGTAACTGGCTTATATAAGCCAAATTAAGGGAGATCTCTGTGGATTTGATAAATCAGGCCATTTTGAAATTTGGGTTCCCCAAACACCATTATCCTTGCACTCCCATCAGCATTCTTGTGATGTGGGGTGAATGAGCTGTGGTTTCCCCCTTTTTCTTCCCTGGTCTTTGCAATTAGTTACAGCTGGATATGTTGCGGGTATGAAATTGTGTTCTTTGGCATAAGTAATTATCCCCTTACACATTCGTAGAAATTCAGAAAGTTTTCTCGAGTACTCTTTTTTTATGAATAGGGAAATATCAACTTAGTTTTAATATGTCATATTTTTGACCCAGAAACAAAATGCCAATTCTGGATCCCTTTCTGTTCTTGAGAAGCTAAATTGCCTCTCACAGATATCAAGTGCTTTGTCTCCTTTCTCATTCTTGTTCCTTTTGTTGTTTGCATCATTATCACAAGGCAGAAGTGTCTTAAGCCTAAACCTCCCAATCACATAAGGAAAAAGAGTGAGGACAGTTGGTTGAACTTTTAACTAGACTCACCTCTTCATCTTTGTGGAGTTGGAATTAAATTATATTGTCCAGATGTAAATAGGCTAGCTACCCATTGCCTAGCCTAGACACAGCATTCAGATCAGCCAACATGTCCTGGTTGCTCTCAAGAAGCTAATCAAAAGGCATTCCTAATTAAATACATCGGATTTTCTTTTGTCCTGTTGTTATTTTGTATCTTAATAGAGATTCTGCCATCTGAATTCAGATTTTATGTCCATTTATTCAGTTTATGGATGACAGATGTCTTAAGATCAGCATATCTTTATGTTTCTTGGACTATTAATGTTTTTAGCTGCTTCTTCCTCTATTTAAATATACAAAAAATGTGAAAGAAACAAGGATAATTCAAATGAATACATGGATCGTCTTTTACAAATGAAACATTTCAAAGGCACTTTACACATTCTTAAAAACAGGTGTGCTAAATGTCAGAGCAGCCCAGGTCATGAGACAGTTTATAGGATTAGAAGGCAGGAGCTGCCATGATTAGTCCCCACTCTGTCACTGACAATCTCTGAGGTTAATAAAAGTCACTGATTCTGGAAGTCTTCTTTGTATCACCCATGGCACGAGGAGGAATGGGGAAAGATGACATGGATTTGAGTCATAATCTTTAATATTCATTCCAACCAACACTTTTGATGACTTCCAGAAAACCTGTTCCAATTACCTTTCTTAGTACGTTGGTCTTGTGGCTTACAGAGGACACCTTAGAAATGCTAATGAATCATCAATTCACTTTCACCATAAAGGTATATTTACAAGCAGTGTGGATTTGGTCCAGATTCTTAGAGTCGTGGTTCTTGGGAGCTGTGTTACAAAAACCAATGAGAAGTCTTGTTCTTTGTTTGCAGGTGATCCTGCCAGACCTGGCTGTCTTGAGAATAGCAGTATATGATGACAACAACAAGCTGATTGGCCAGAGGATCCTTCCGCTGGATGGCCTCCAAGCAGGCTATCGACACATTTCCCTTCGGAATGAGGGAAACAAACCATTATCACTGCCAACAATTTTCTGCAATATTGTTCTTAAAACATACGTGCCTGATGGGTTTGGAGGTAAGATAAGCAGGTGGTTATAGTATGATACAGATGTGGTACTAAATTATAGAATTGTAAAATATTCAGCCTATCCTGAAAAAAAGGAATAACAATGATGTCCTTCCTGCCTATGCTGCAAACCCTGGTCATATTGAAGAAAGTAAGGATAAATGGCAACCTCATATTTCACAATAGGAAAATGAAAGGGCAAGGATAGACTATCTATAATGTCTTTTCTTATTTTAAAATGTTATGCTGCCCAGCAAAGTGGCTCATGTGTGTAATCCCTGCAGCTTGGGAGGCTGAGGCAGGAGGATTGCCATTTGAAAGCCAGCCTCAGCAAAAGCAAAGCACTAAGCAACTTGGTGAGACCCTGTCTCTAAATATATACAAATTAGGATTGGGGATGTGGCTCAGTGGTCAAGTACCCCTGAGTTCAATCCCAGGTACCAAAGTAATAATAATAACAATAAAATGTTATGCTTTTATAATATTTATTAATTTCTATAATTTTTATGAAGGTTTTATTTGTACTACCAAAGTGAGAGGAAAAAAGATATGAAACACTGTCTTATCAATTGGTATCACTCAACAATCTTACATTGAACTTGGTTAACAACGTACCTCAATTTTCTTCCAAATTCACAAGGCAATAATTTCTTAAAATTCCCAGTCATCCAACCCACATTGGCATTTCTAAGGTAATCTGTGAGAAGAACCCAAACTGTATCATATGATAGGATTTTGACTACACCCAAAGATGTTAACTCTCCCTAACCTCTAATAAACTAGGGACATAAAATTAAAAAGGGCATGATATTCTCAGAGTCATCATACAGAAGGAAATAGCCCAGCAGAGTGACCACATCACCTTAGCCAAGGTCTCAAATCCTAACTGTCCACTGATGGCTAGTGGTCTTGAGAACAAGATGGAACCTCTCAAACATCTCGTTTTGTCACCTGCAAAGATAATACAACTCATCAAGTTCAAAAAGTAAATTAAGCTATGAAGGTTTTGTCAGTTTCAAAATCCATAGTATTCCTTCTTTCTTCCACTTTGTTTTTTTTTACCAAAATTAAGTAAACTAGAAGCAACATGATAGAGCAGCCAACAAAAGAACCCATAAAAGTGGAGGGGCAAGGGTGCTGTGGGGTTGGATAAGTGGAACAGAACAGGAGACCAGAAGCCTGGACTGTGTTTGGGAGTTGTGTCCCCACCTGTGGTAAACCCCCAAATCCTGCCTGTGTTGCAACACAACAATGGCCTGGAGGCATCAATGGATGCTTTAAATGATCTTCCACATATTTGAGCGTAGGAAGCAGAGAATGTGTGATAAATACCTAATGTACTTTAGAAGTAGTTTTATACATCCATATGGTGGAAAATTTTAAAATTTCGCCCCTGTGTGGGTTAAATTTCAGATGAAACTATAATTCCTTAATGGGAAAGGAGCCATTTGATTAGGAAAGAGGGAAATAAAATTTGTTGAGCTCCTATATTGTGCCAGGCAATTCAAAGAGAGTCCAAAAATGTGAAATTGTCCTGAATGGATGTGGGCATATGTAGATCTACGCTGAAGAAATATCTGTATTTATAATGCAACTTATGGCCAGTGTTGGCATTTAAGTATTGACCCAAATTAATCTCTTGAATAATAGTCCAACAAGTATTCTTCCCTACCATGTCTGTGTGACTGATTCTATTCTATTTGAGAAGTATTTGAAATTTTCATGCCATGTTACAGTTGATGGGATTCTGCAGTTGATGTCTTAACCTCTGATTTGACTTTCAAAGACAGTTGATTCAGAATTCACTGGACCTTTCTTTTATTTGTGAAGAAACTGAGGGCAAATATTACAAGGTTTAAAGGCCTTATTTGAAGATAACCAGAAAAGAATGTGGGAACCACCTTTCTCCAAATTCTTGGTCATCTTCATGCCCTCTGAACGTACAGATGTGTTCATTTTCTTCTGCTTAGCCACCTCCCACATCCAGACCTACATAATAAACCAGTGGGCTAGGATATCTATAGAGTCCATGTTCCTAGAATATTTGATGTTCTCTGTTGATTCTGTAGGAACAAGTTCAAAGTGAGACTGCATCATTACACACCAGCATTTTCTAGAGGAAAGAAATAGGTGTTGATATGCAGGATCACATTTTTATTTGACTAAAGAAAGATAATGTGTATTCATTACTTCATTCTCCAAATACATACAATAAGTTTATTCCATAAAAGTAAGGCAGCTAAAATATTTATCAGAAATTAATTTCGATGACCCAAAAAGAGAATAACAGTTCCCCATCAATCCTCTGCCCAGGGTGAACTCCTATTTACTTTTATCACATTTATTTTTACATTTTATAATAAAAAACTTGCATCTTAACTGTGCATCCTCATTTGCCCCCAACTCCCGCTTTTTTTCACTTAAAGGAGAATGTCCCATGTCTTGAAATATTTTTTTACATTTTTATCAGCTGCATAGGATTCCATTTTATTATTCTAGTTTAGTCTCTGAAAAACAATGAAGTCATTTCCACTTTTGTCTCTTAGAAACAATATTGATAAGCAACTCAGTGAGATCCTGTCTGTAAATAAAATACAAAATAGGGCTGGGGATGTGGCTCAGTAGTTGAGTGCCCCTGAGGTCAATCCTTGGTACTAAAAAAAGAAAGAAAAAAAAAGAAAGAAAGAAAAAGAAAGATTATTGAACCTTAGAACCCTAAATATAAGGTTTTAGAAATATTTGTCATCATTTCCTGAAGATGAATTCTTTGAAATGGATTTATCACACCAAGGAGTACATGAGTATTTAAAGCTTCAGGTACAGGTTGCTGAATAGCAAGTGTATGATAAAAATTTTTCCAACATTTACCTATTTAAAGAATACATTGGTATTTCATTGATGTATTCACTGAAATAGTTTGTAACTGTTTTTATAACCATTTTTTCTTCTTTAAGATATTTGTATAGTAGTTATTGTTTAGTATCTACTATACAAATAACAAAGAAGAAATGTAAAGCTGAAAAAGTGGTATATACTTACCCTGAAGAATTTTCCACCTGTGTGCACACACACACATATATATATATATATATATATATATATATATATGGTTTATTCATATGCATAAATGTGACACACTGTATGGTAAATGTTGAAAGAGTAGTAGAGCCAAAGGGCACTGAGAACATTGAACTACAGAGTGATTAGCTGGAGTGGGCTGAGGGAGACTTCAGTAGTGGGACATTGAGAGATGACCCATCCTTAATCTGAAAATCTGACATCCAAAATGTTTTGAAATCCAAAACGTTTTGTCTTGGCAATTTTCTTTTAAGTTTTTTGGTTCTTTTTAGTTATACATGACTGTAGAATCCATTTTGATATCATTATGCAAGCATGGAATATATCTTATTCTACTTAGTACCCCATTCTTGTGGATGTGCATGATGGTGGAATTCACTGTGATGTTTCCATATATCTACATAGGACAATTATGTCAGATTTATTCCACTGTCTTTCCTTCTCCTATCCCCCCTTCCATTCCCTATTGTATAATCTACTGAACTTCTGTTCTCCCTGCCTCCTTATTTGGATTAGCTTCCATATATCACAGAAAATATTCAATCTTCAGTTTGGGGGGGGACTGGCTATTTCACTTAGCATGATGGTCTCCAGATCCATCCATTTACTGGCAAATGTCACAGTCATTCTTTATGGTTGAGTCATACACCATTGTGTGTGTGTGTGTGTGTGTGTGTGTGTGTGTATATATATCACATTTTCAATATCCACTCTTCTGTTGAAGGATACTTGGTTGGTTACATAGTTTAGCTATTGTGAATTGAGCTGCTATAAACATTGATGTGACTGCATCACTGTAGTATGCTGATGTTAAGTCCTTTGGATGTATACCAAGGAGTGGGATAACTGGGTCAAATGGTGGTTCTATTCCTTTTTTTGAGGAATCCCCATACTAATTTCCAGAGTGGTTGCATTCCTACCAGCAGTGTATGGTAGGACTTTTCCCTTTTACCCACACCCTTGCCAGCATTTATTGTTGCTTGTATTCTTAATAGTTGTCATTCTGACAGGAGTGAAATGGAAGTCTGTGTAGTTTCAATTTGCATTTTTCTAATTGCTAGAGATGTTGAACATTTTTTCATGTTTGTTGACTATTCATATTTCTTCTTCTGTGAAGTATCTGTTCAGTTCCAGACACTTATTTTTTTGGGGGAGGAGGGTGTTAAGTTTTTTGAGTTCTTTATGTATACCAGAAATTAATGCTCTATCTAAGGTACAGGTGGCAAAGATTTTCTTCTATTCTGTAGGTTCTTTTTTCATACCTCCCACATTTTTGGAGAGGCAGAATTAATATTGTCAAAATGGCCATACTACCAAACGTGCTATACAGATTCAATGCAATTCCCATCAAAGTTCCAGTGGTGGTCTTCATAGAAATAAATGGAAAAGGCAGTCATAAAAATTTATTTGCAAAAAATAAGAAACCCAGAAATAGCCAAAACAATCCTTAGAAAGAAATGTGAAACAGGAGGCATCACAATACCAGACCCTAAATTATTCCACAGAGCTAGTAACAAAAACAGCATGGTATTGGCGCCAGAACAGGCATGAAGACCAATGGAACAGAATAGAAGACACAGAAAAAAACTCACACTAATACAGTTATCTCATACTCGACAAAGGCACCAGAAACATACATTGAAGAAAAGATAGCCTCTTCAACAAATGGTGCTGGGAAAACTTGAAGTCCACGTGTAACAAAATGAAATTAAACCCCTATCTCTCACCCTGCACAAAACTCAACTCAATGTGGATCAAGGACCTAAGTATTAGACCAGAAACCCTGCACACACTAGAAAAATTGTAGGCCCCACACTAACATATCCTCTTAGGAACCGAATTTCTTAACCAGACTCCTAAAGTGCAAGAAGTAAAATAAATAATCAATAAATGGGATAGCATCAAAAAACTTTTCTTTTTTTTCACATCAT